TCGACAACCTTTCCAACGGCGGCGTATCAGCCGTATGCCAAGAACAACCGCAAAAGTCCTGTGTCAAAACAACATTTTTTTCCGAAAAATTGGCAAAAAAGGTCTAATTTTCCCAAAAAAAGGGGAAGTAGGACAACGATCCCAGACAATTTGATTGTTTGTGTATCACAATCCATCGGAGGCTTCCACGAAACTTCTCAAATCTTTGCACACGCTGAGATGATCACTTCAAACGACCAAAAGCGCGATCACACTGGATGAGCTACGGCAAGAGGAAAGGAACCTGTGTCGAGATTGGAAAAACCACAGCACTCAAGGCTTGTGCGTGATGCACAGAGATATCCGATACTCTGTTTATTGCAATCCATCGGAGGCTTACAAGAAACTCAAGTAATTGCACACGGTGAAATGCAACATATCACAAATCTTTGCACACGCTGAGATGATCACAAAGCGACTAAAGGCGCGATCTGATCACACTGGATGACCGATAGAAAGTGCATCTAATGCCGCAACATGACTACCCGAGAATGGCCAGGAAGGCAAAATTGTTGGTTTCCTAAAATCCAGATACCTCTAAAGCATCCATTTTGATACTATTTTCGTTATACGTCCATTTTCTGTCTAATCCATCCCGGCGTATGATTGAGGCCACTGCTGAGAGAAAAGCACCACTCGTCTCCGCCTAGGCGTCGGAATCAGGGTAGAGCAGGTGAGGTCTGCACCGCTTGTTTTCATCAGATTCAGCGTGTTGTTTCTTCTGAAATGATACCCGGCAGATTGATTTTTAGCGTTTGCCTACGCAATCGAGATCGGTGCCGTGAGGCCGTGCAGGAAGCACAATGTATGAGTACGATGCACTCATATTTATATAGATATAAAGATATCTCATGTACAATAAATATATCAAATGTCATCATATTTCCAAATAGATCCGATATCATCCAATTTATGGGAATTTGACCAAATCCCCGCCGTGTGATTGAGGCCACTGCTGACAAAGCGACCAAAGGCGCGATCACACTGGATGAGCTACGGAAAGTATATTTAATGCCGCAAAATAATGAGCATCGATTATGAAATTTGGGTTCAGTCGAGAATGGCCAAAAAATCAAATTGCTTGTGTCCTAAAATCCGGGTACCCTCAAATTATCCACTTTGATTTTTTGTCTATCGCAATCCATCGGAGGCTTGTCTTCAACAGCTGCAGTGTACATGTCGCCAATCTGTGCACATGCTGAGATGATTCTGCCAAAGGTCGCGGTTGAGTCGACGTCCCGAAGCATCAATTTTCGGGAAAATTTCGCTGTTCAGGCAAAATCCCGAAGCACCAATTTTCCGGAAAATTTGCCACTTTAGGAAATTCCTAAATCGCTAAATTTCCGGGAAAATTCGGGGTTTCGTCCGAAATTTCCGGAAAAATTGGGACTTTTGGCATAATTGTACGATGTATTGGATCAATTCCGGCTACAATTGTCGGGTTTCCGACAGGGGCGCCCACTTTTTCGGCAGGCGTCCCGTTTTATGTAATAATACATACAAATACATATGTCTGTCTGTCTGTCTGCCTGCCTGCCTGCCTGGCTGGCTGGCTGCCTGGCTGCCTGGCTGCCTGCCTGTCTGTCTGTCTGCCTGCCTGTCTGTCTGTCTGTCTATCTGTGTGTCTATCTGTCTGTCCGTCTAGACAGGTAATTAGATTATATAGATTAGATCAGATCGGTTAGATTTGGATTTAGATTTAGATTAGATTAGATTATAGATTAGATTAGATTAGATTAGATTAGATTAGAGATTAGATAGATAGATAGGTAGATAGATAGATAGATAGATAGATAGATGGATAGATAGAGAGATGGATAGATAGATAGATATGGATAGATAGATAGATAGATAGATAGGATAGATGGATAGATGGATAGATGGATAGATGGATAGAAGTTTCAGGGTTCTGCAAGCTGCATAGGGAACATAGCTCCTCTACGGGAGATGGTTTCGACATGTTTCATACCCTCTGGTCATTGAACAGTTTGCTATCGAAAACGGCCATTTAGTTCGAATTACCAAGCTATCAAATGGTGATTTTCCAGTGCGCGAACTGTTAAATTTACCAGAAGCTATGTAATTTCAAGACAAGGACAGACCCTCTGGTAAACTAACATAACTGTGGAAAATCACCCTTTTTAATGAATAAAAACACTATTTCTATGACCATGTTCATTAGCTATGCAACAAATTACCAGAGGGTATATCCATATATTCGATATATATATATATTCCATATATATTCCATGTATGTTCCATATATATTCCATATATATTCCATATATGTTCCATATATATTCCATATATTCCATATATATTCCATATTCCATATATATATATTCCATATATATCCCATATATATATATTCCATATATATATATTCCATATTTATTCCATATATGTATATATTCCATATATGTATATATTCCATATATATTCCATATATATTCCATATATATTCCATATATATTCCATATATATTCCATATATATATTCCATATGTATTCCATATATGTATATATTCTATATATATTCCATATATATGGAATATTCCATATATATTCCATATATATGGAATATATATTCCATATTCCATATATATTCCATATATATTCCATATATATTCCATATATATTCCATATATATTCCATATATATTCCATATATATTCCATATATGTATATATTCCATATATATTCCATATATATGGAATATATATTCCATATTCCATATATATTCCATATATATTCCATATATGTATATATTCCATATATATTCCATATATATTCCATATATATTCCATATATATATTCCATATATATATTCCATATATATATTCCATATATATTCCATATATATTCCATATATATTCCATATATATTCCATATATATTCCATATATATTCCATATATATTCCATATATATTCCATATATGTATATATTCCATATATATTCCATATATATGGAATATATATTCCATATTCCATATATATTCCATATATATTCCATATATGTATATATTCCATATATATTCCATATATATTCCATATATATTCCATATATATTCCATATATATTCCATATATATTCCATATATATTCCATATATATTCCATATATATTCCATATATATTCCATATATATTCCATATATATTCCATATATATTCCATATATATTCCATATATATATATTCCATATATATATTCCATATATATATTCCATATATATTCCATATATATTCCATATTCCTATATATTCCATATATATTCCATATATATGGAATATATATTCCATATTCCATATATATTCCATATTTATTCCATATATATTCCATATATATTCCATATATATTCCATATATATTCCATATATGTATATATTCCATATATATTCCATATATATGGAATATATATTCCATATTCCATATATATTCCATATATATTCCATATATATTCCATATATATTCCATATATATTCCATATATATTCCATATATATTCCATATATTTATATATTCCATATATGTATATATTCCATATATATTCCATATATATGGAATATATATTCCATATTCCATATATATTCCATATTTATTCCATATATATTCCATATATATTCCATATATATTCCATATTAATTCCATAATTTCCATATATTAATATATTTCACATATATAATTCCTATATATGGAATATATATTCCATATTTCCATATTCCCTATTATTCCATATATATTCCATATAGATTCCATATATATTCCATATATATTCCATATATATTCCATATATATTCCATATATATTCCATATATGTATATATTCCATATATATTCCATATATATGGAATATATATTCCATATTCCATATATATTCCATATATATTCCATATATGTATATATTCCATATATATTCCATATATATTCCATATATATTCCATATATATTCCATATATATTCCATATATATTCCATTTATATATTCCATATATATATTCCATATATATATTCCATATATATATTCCATATATATATTCCATATATATATTCCATATATATATTCCATATATATATTCCATATATATATTCCATATATATATTCCATATATATATTCCATATATATATTCCATATATATATATTCCATATATATATATTCCATATATATATATTCCATATATATATATATTCCATATATATATTCCATATATATATTCCATATATATATTCCATATATATATTCCATATATATATTCCATATATATATTCCATATATATATTCCATATATATGGAATATATATTCCATATATATGGAATATATATTCCATATATATTCCATATATATTCCATATATATTCCATATATATTCCATATATATTCCATATATATTCCATATATATTCCATATATATTCCATATATATTCCATATATGTATATATTCCATATATATTCCATATATATGGAATATATATTCCATATTCCATATATATTCCATATATATTCCATATATGTATATATTCCATATATATTCCATATATATTCCATATATATTCCATATATATTCCATATATATTCCATATATATTCCATATATATTCCATATATATTCCATATATATTCCATATATATTCCATATATATATTCCATATATATATTCCATATATATATTCCATATATATATATTCCATATATATATTCCATATATATTCCATATATATTCCATATATATTCCATATTCCTATATATTCCATATATATTCCATATATATTCCATATATATTCCATATATATTCCATATATATTCCATATATATTCCATATATATTCCATATATATTCCATATATATTCCATATCCATGTATGTTATCTCATTTATATGCCATATTTTCCATATGGATGACTGAATTTGTTAGTGGCTTCGATTCTTTGGGTCCAGATCACGCAAGGGCCGGCATCAAGTTATCAAAGGCACCATCTCAGTTTCAGCACATTCCAAGTTACAGCCACCTGGCAGAACGGAAAAAAACGGGTTGCCTCAAATGGAGTGATCAGCACATCCCATGAAAAACATGAATGAAAATGGGAAAGTGGATGTTTTTGTTTTTGGAATTCTCATCATTGAGATATATAAACCATCTATATCTCATTATAAAATGCGAAAGTGTATGAAATTCTATGGAATTCTCATCATTGGGATACATGATTATGGACTTGGATTTCCCTGAAATAAACCATCCAGCTATTGGGCTACCCCCATGACTATGGAAACCGCCATCTCTTCGGGTCACGAAGTGGTGGTGATACGTTTGGTCATGAACTCAGCAAATTCCCAATAAAATAGGACAATGTCATATAGTTGCTAAGTTTCATATAGTTCATGACATTTTCATATAGTTGCTAAGTTTCAGGGGAAAATGTCATATGAAACCAACTGAGTCTTCGTTCCATATGAGTTTGTCTGAAAATAGCGCACCCCATTCCATCCACTGGATTATCATCTCCATTAAATAACCCGGGGTACCCTCTGGTAATTTAGCATAACTATTGAAAATGACCCATAGAAATCCTTGATTTATGTTGATTTACCTATTAGAGATGGTGATTTTCCAGTTCGCGAACTGTTAGTTGACCAAAGGGTATACCCCATTTTCCCCACCCGAAAAGAATAGTTTTTCTTCTCGTTGCCGCCTCGCGCATAGGAGAGCAGCTGCACGGAGTTCGGAAAGGTTTCTTGCAGATAGGCTCCGAAGAGGGTCGGCCACGCGCATTGGCCTCGGAGATCGCCGGTATCACAGAGACCCGGCGCCGAAAAAAAGGAAAGACATTGACCCAAAATCATCCAACAGAAAGGGTGATTTAACCGCAATTTAAGTAACAAAAAGGGAGAAGTAATATGAAAAGAAGTAACACAAGTACTCAAAAAGTGGATTTAACTGGTTAGAGGATAAGGGGTTCAAACATGGCTTGGTTGTTAGTCTTATCCCTGTCCTTGCTGGCAGTATCCCGTTTTGTTGATAAAATTGAATATCACCTCTTTTTTATGGTCATTGAATACATGTTCCATTATTCATGATTGTTAATGAAATTCCAAGTAATTTTGAAGGTTTGTCTCACTGTTTTCTTGTTCTACAAATTCTGCACTCGAAACATGTTGTGCAATACAAAGTTGAAAAAATCCATTGCCGTTGCTTCACAAATGCACTGCAACGACATCGACCAGCCAAGGTGCCTTCGTTCATTTTGCACTGCTCCATGCCTCAGTCATCTGAGGCCACTGTTTTGACCAGCTACCCCCCTCCCCAATGGTATGGTCCCCCAGGCCGAGCCCAGCACGTAGCATCCTGTAACGTAGCACCAAGTGTCTGTGCAAGTACAAGAGAAGATCTTGTAACGTAAACATCAAGCATCTATGGAAGTAGGAGAGAAGATCTTATATCTTCTTATAACGTTGCATCAACTGTCTGCTCGTGTACAATAGAAGGTCTTGTAACGCAACATCAACTGTCTGTGCAAGTACCAGGGAGGATCCTATAACGTAGCAGCAAGGATCTGTGCAAGTACGAGAGATTACCCTGCAACGTAGCATCCAACATCTGTGCAAGCACGAGAGAGGATCGCACAATGTAACATACATCCATCCATCCATCAGACATCCATCCATACATACATAGATAGATACAAAGATAGATGATGACCAAGAGACGGGCCGGGAGAGAAATCCATGACCAGGACTGGAACCATGACCATGACCCGGGGGGGCTGCAAGGCCTGTACCATATATAGTTCATGGGTTTATAAACCAACAAAACTGGGAAGGCTCAGGTTGTAGCAGCAACAAATCAAGAATTCCCCGTTGTAGCACCAAATGACTACGTTTAAAAGTGCACGCATGTGAAGGGTTCCGTTCAAGATTCTAGAAGCATCAGTTTCCCGGTGTTACAATTACAAACAGAACCTGTTTGTCTGTGCATGACTCCAGAATACCATGCATTGCATCCATTCTAAATCTGCAACCGTCAAATATGAAGATATTTGAACCAGGTAAGGATATCCACCCATCATTATTACCCATCATTAACCATCATTAACCATCCAGATGACCCATAATCATTTCCCAAACCATTATTATTAAGCGGTCATTAAAAAACAATGCTATTATATAATATTTAAAAAAGAGTTGCTTAAGCATTATAATCATTGTTTGCCCAAGATGTTTCATTGTATAACCATTATTAACCATCGTTACCAATCATAATTAACCATCATTGTTACCCATCATTATTTCTCATCTGCCATGTGCCATTGTTAACCACTATTTACCCACAATGTTTGATTACCCATCAGAAACCATCATTTGTTGATATACAACCATTAAAAACATGATTATTAACCATTATTCACAATCATAAACCATCATTATTATCATTATTTACCATTGTTGTTGTTGTTCACCATTATAAACATCTTATATAATCAATGATGGTTAATCAGGCATTATAAACCTCTTGTAAAACCTCTTATATAACCAATGGTGGTTAATCATTAAAAACCTCTTATATAATCATCATTAACCATCATTAACCATTAAGAGGTTTATAATCATCATTAACCTCTTAAGATAACCATTATAAACGTCTATAACCATCATATATAATCATCATTAACCCATCATTAACCATCATTATTATCGTGATTTACCATTGTTGTTGTTGTCCTATAACCACTATATTGGTTCTATATTAGGTAATAATACCACTATTTACCACTATATTGGGTAATAATACCACTTTTTACTGTTTTACTGCTGTTGTTGTTGTTCGTGTTGTTGTTCAGTAATGATGGGGCTTTGTGCCATAGTTGGCAAGCACTTGGTGTTGCGATTCACCCGACTACCCTTTACCCAAAAACCTGGCGAAGTGGCAACACTCCGACCCAACGGTCATACCTCGGGCCGCGGCGGCGTCGGTGACGCGATGCCATGCTGGAAGATGGGATGAAAATGGTGGTTGAGAGGGGTTTTTAAAGTAGTTTAATATGGAAAAAATGGTGGTTTAATGGGTTTTTAATGAGTTTATTTTTTTAATTTTTATATTTTGGTTTAAGATATGGAAAAATGAAAAATGGTCCAAACCAACAACCAGTTTAATATGAATTAATGATACACCATGAGATGTTTGATATGTTTGGGGGTTACCCATGTTGAGACCACCATTAACCATTCCTACAGTATGGTTTTGCTACGGTTTACCTATGGTTTAGCCATTATTTACCCTTTCTTATGGTAGTTTACCTAGTTTACCTATGGTTCACCTATGGTTTAGCCACTATTTACCTATGGTTTCCCTATAGTTTACCCATTCTTAACCTCGATCGCAAATTTTGGGAATGACCCTCCAGGCATTTCACATGGCTGTTTTACGGCCCATTCCTACACGATTTACCTATTTGAAATGGGGATGTTCCATAGTTTCAATGGTGATTTAATGGTGATTTAATGGTGATTTAATGGGATTTAGTGGGATTTATTTAGGATATATGATGGTATACCCTCTGGTAAACGTTTACATAACTATGGAAAATCACCATTTTTAACGGGTACATCCACTATAAATGGCAATTTTCAATAGCTATGTTTGTTTACCGGAGGGTACCAAATGATCGCCATCATTACACATCACATTATTGCAAAAAAAAAATATATACTGTATATAAGGTGTACCAGACAGGCTTTTATTGACCACCATTGCTCATGGTTCGTCATTATTAACCTTGTTAACCCGCGTTTTTCCTATGGTTTACCCATTATTGGGAAATACACATTACTAACCATTAGCCCAAGATGCGTGGTTAGCCATTCTTAACCATCATTATTGTACCGATGACAAACCAACAGTTTACAAGTCGGGGCCCCCGACTTGTAGACTAAATTGGTTTATGGATGTCTATGGCTAGTATAAGGCCATAGTATTCGTCGGGCGAACATTAAAAAAAGAAAAAGAGGAACTGAGGCCCCCAGCTTGTAACCTATGGTTTACCTATGCTTAACCATCACAAATTTTAGGACCATCATTAACAATCATGACGTTTACCCATTTATTAATCAATATCATATTGACCTCACCATTGTTAACCACGACCCAAGACGGTTGATTAACCATCATTAACCACCGACCACCATTGCTGTTGTTATATAACCATTAAAATCATGATTATTAACCATTATTCACCATAGTTAACCATCAATATTATCATGATTTATCACTATTGTTGTTGTTCTATAACCATTATAAACCTCTTGGTGTCAATGATGGTTAATCAAACATTATAAACCTCTTATATAATCATCATCAACCATCATTAACCATTAAGAGGTTTATAATCATCATTAGCCTCTTAAGATAACCATTATAAACCTCTATAACCATCATATATAATCATCATTAACCCATCACTAACCACCATCATTATAATGATTTACCACTATTGTTGTTGTTCTATAACCACTGTAATAGTGGTCAATACCGAACCTAATTTATAATAGTGGTAGTATTTACTATTTGGGTAATTAATACTACCACTATTTATCACTATATTAGTTCTATAAACCAAACCATTACCACCTCTTAGTGTCAATGATGGTTAATCAAACCATTAACCATTCTATAACCATTATTAATCATCAACCATCATCAACACTATGGTTCTATAACCAAAACCCTAAACCAAACCTATAATAGTGGTAAAACCAAAACCATGATTTTATAGGGTTCTATACCAATATTTTATAAACCAAACCCACTATTGTTGTTGTTCTATAACCACTATATGGGTTCTATATTAGGTAATAATACCACTATTTACCACTATATTGGGTAATAACACCACTATTTATCACAAAAAATTGGTTCTATAAACCCAAACCTCTCCATGGCTCTCGAAAAATCGTCCCAGCTGCTCCCTCCGAAGACTTCAATCCGCACCGTCTCGTTGCCCTCCGTCAGCCGTCGCAGCAAGCTCTCCATCTGCCGCGACCGGCGAAACAACGGGGGAAACCCGAAGATGGTGGAGTTTCACCAGGGAAAATGGCGATTTCACCAGCCAAAAGGGGGGGGTTCACCATAATCAATAAGGGATTTAGGGGGATGTTTAAAAGTTTAAACAACTATGGCTGAAGTGATTTACGGGGTGATTTAAGAGGATTTCAGCATGAAAAATATGGATTTACTGTAGGAATCAGTTGGAATTCACCAAGAAAATCATGTATTTTGCCAGGACGATTAGCTTGTTTCGTAACAAACACAGGGGGCCCCGACAAAAACAACGGAATTGACCATGATTGGCCCATCAACCAATGGATGTGATCTGTACAAGATGCTGGGCGGAGATGCATTTAAGTGTCTTTTCCATACACCGATGTTGAGAAAAGACAAGGGGATCAATCGCCAAAAGAGACTGCAAGCAGGTATTCTCTAGGGAATAATAATCCTATCACCTTTTCATATTAAACACTCCCCAGAAACCATGGTAGACGTAGGGGATGTAGGGGATAAACCACAATATGACTGGGACGCTAGAATGGGTGTGTTGAATATGGGAAACAATAGCCATGTTTGCCCGGCCAATCTCATTGTTGCCGTCATCTTTGGATACCCGAACATGGCAATCGAACATGGGTAACATGGCAATGATTCAAAACACAATTCTGGAGGATTTTCCCGTTCTATAAACCTCCATGTTTGTGAAAAATTGCCATGTTTGATTCCCAGATCGTAGCTCCCCTGACTCCCCCTGACTGAATATGGATACCCCCCATAGCTCCGACAACCACTCCAGATCGCACCGGGAAAGTCATCGAAAAATGTGAAAAACGATCAGCCAAAACCACTTGACCAATCTTCACAAATACATTGGGAATATATTTGGATTATTTGGGTAGTATAACCCCTATCACCATCCATCATGTTCATGCTTAAACTATCTCAACCACCAACCATGGTTTTGTATGCCCATCAACCAAGTTTGGGTGTGTCTGAAAATATGGCCCCAAAATAGCTATTTTCATTTTAAAAAAATGATGAGAATCCTATGGATTCATATTGCCAATCAGCCAGATACCCTGCAAAAAATGAGAGATTCTTAGCTGGTGAACGGTTCGATAATCCAAGGATTGACCGCCAAATCACCATCCATTTTTCTGGGATTTCAACGGAAAATTGGGGTGGGTTATTCACCATGGTTTTACCAGATGTTTATGGGAAATCCCATCATCATCCAATGGATTTAGAAGTTTTATCACAAGCCTACAATGTAGGGCCCCCCAGTATTAAGTTTGTTGGTTTATAAACCCCCATAACTATAGTTGCTATAGTTATTTGCGTACCATAAACCATAGTGAGTTATTGGAGTTACCCTCTGGTTATTTAACATAGCCATGGAAAATGGCCCATTTATAGATGGTTTACCTGGGTTTACCTATTAAAAATGGTGATTTTCCATGGCTATGTTAAATAACCAGATGGTATTTGCACCAACTGAACGCTATCGACCGGGGGCCCCACGACTTCTATGGTCCCCTCCCCATGAGTCATCCCGGTTGCGCCCAGGCGTGCCAGAGGATATGGCCCCGACATCTCTGCCCGACTCGCGTTCCACACCTACAGAACTGGCGACGTACAGAACTGCCGGAGACCATAGGAAAATGGTAACTTAACCATAGGAAAACCATAGGAAAACTATGGGTGCATGGTGATTTAACCAACAAAAATGGTAGATTTAATGAGATTTACAGCTGATTGATGATAGCTAAGATGACGCACATAATTTGATGAACGTTTGGGTTTTTGGGGAATATAACATGATATAAGTATAGATAATGGGTTTATATGGGTTTATAAACCGACTTATAACTGGGGGGCCTCACCTTGTAGCAATATTGGTTCTTCACTGTTGAGTGGTTGTCGAACTGGGCCCCTGTGGCCAAATCACGCGGAAAACAGCTCTGGTTTTAAGAAGAACATATGTTTTTTAACCATGCGATACAATGGGGGTATCCAGCATTTTCAAGCGCGGATGTCCAGCTCACCCTCTATAAGATTCCAAAAAACCAGTAGTCTTAACTAGTTAAATGCCAGTTCTTGTTTCTTTCTTAAGGTTAAATCAGAATTTGTTCACTACTGTAATTCAGGTTTCATCATGTTTTTTTCCATTATGACATCATGTCTCTTCCTGAAATCACACTTTTCCCTGTGAGATCGGGTGAAATGGCGATCCTGGATGATGCCACCCCTACGAATGGATGTGCGGGCCCCACGAATCGGACCTGTGATTTATCCATATATAAGCCATATGATCGATATATCCTCTATATACCATATAATATTCTATAATTCTATAGTTTTTCCATAATTCTATAGTTTTCCCATAATTCTATAGTTTTTCCATAATTCTATAGTGTTTCCATAATTCTATATACCATATAATCCTCTATCACCCTTGGTCATATAATCGATATATCAGTTGGGATATTCTATAATAATATTATATCCCTAGAATTCATTCCATGAATCTAACCCATATATATATATCCATATATGTTATCTCATTTACCCTCTGGTAAACTAACATTGCTATGGAAAATAACAATTTTTAATGGGTAAATCAACTATTTCTATGGGCCATATTCAATAGCTATGTGAAAATACCAAAGGGAATATCCATATATTCAATATCTTCCATATATATATTCCAAATATTCCAGGTATTCCATATATATATATTCCATATATATTCCATATATATATATATTCCATTTATATATATATATTCCATATATATTCCATATATATTCCATATATATTCCATATATTCTATATCAATATATCTTATCTCATTTACCATCTGGTAAACTAACGTTGCTATGGAAAATCGCCATCTTTAGCAGGTAAATCGACTATTTCTATGGGCCATGTTCAATAGCTATGTTGAATTACCAGAGGTTATATCCATATATTCAATATATATCTTCCATATATATTCTATATATCCCATGTATTCCATATATTGCATATCCATATATGTTATCTCATTCATATCCATATTTTCCATATGGAGGTTGCCAAAAATGGGGGTACCCCCCAGTCATCACCCATTTTAGTAGGAATTTCCATGAAATAAACGATCCAGCTATTGGGGATCTCCCATTTGTGGAAACCCTCATATAATATCTAATTTCATATATCTACATTGTCCCACTGGATGGATATTATACATATAGCATATACTGAATATCCCTAGATAAATATTGTAATCATCACTTTTTCCATAATCCTGTATACCATATGATCCTCTATCACCCTTGGTCATATAATCATATTATATCCCTATATTTCATTCCATTAATCTAACCCATATATATATATATATCCATATACCATGGAATATGTTATCTCATTTACCCTCTGGTAAATCAACATTGCTATGGAAAATCACCATCTTTAAGAGGATTTTCCATGAAATAAACATAAATAAACCATCCTGCGATAAAGGGGATCCCCCATGACTATGGAAAGCAAATATCATATATTCCATAAATTGGATGGGGATATACCCAATGGATCCCCATATATGGATCATTTCATAAAATAAATACCAATTTATGGGGTATACCCCCCTCCAGTGGCGCCCTCCGGAGGCATCGCGGGGAGATCCTGGAAGTCACTGGGACGCCAGGCCTGAGAAAAGAGGGGCAAACTCTTCATGGAACGAGGAGAAAATGTGTGATTTCACCAAGAAAAATGGTGATTTTGCTGGGATTTAAGGGGATAAATGATGATAAACATTGGGATTTCATGCTGGTGAATGGGGATTGAACTATGAACAAATGGGAATATCATTGGATGTTACAATGGGATGTTAGTTAATATTGTGGAATGTTAATGGAATATGACTGCAATGGAATATTGCTGAATACCCTGCAATATATGGGTTGTAGGATTATTGATCATTTACAATTTCGTGGATTATTTTTTCTGGCATCTGTACAATGGTCATCATGATCATGTATGCTGGTGATTAGCCTCCAGTAATCAAACATGGCTTGCGGTACCCTCTGGTAATTTAACATAGCTATTGAAAATTGCCATTTATAGTGAGTTTTTCCATTAAAAATTGTGATTTTCCATAGTTATGTTAGTTTACCAGAGGGTACTTGGATGATTTTCGCACAGTAAACCACCATGGCTAGGCCGCTAGGTAAATCACCATGTTCGGGGATTTTCCAGCCACGTTTGATGACACCAGAGGGTACAATGTGGGGCCCCCCAGATATAAGTTGGTTTATAAACCCCCATAACTATAGTTATTTGCGTACCATAAACCATAGTGAAATTGGAGTTATAAACCAACTTAGCTATCTTGGGGGACCCACATTGTATTATATACCGTTATCATTCCATTAATATCCCATCAACGTTCCAAATATAGATATATCATGGTATATCTACCATAAACCATAGCTAACCATAGTGAAATTCCCATTAAGATATCCCATTTTAATGTACCAAGATATATCTACCATCTACTACCATATATCTAATATCATATAATAAAATATAATATAATATAATAATAGTAATAATATAATATAATACAATATAATCAATACAATACAATATCATACTATCATCCCATTCATATCCCATTACATAAACCATATCATCCCATTTTTTCAACATGAAGTTCAGTCAGGCCTTGCTTCCAGGCATCTTGGCCAAATGGTTCGGCAGCCGCGGTAGCGGCGCCCACGGCGCCCTGGAGATTTGCGCCTTGGTGAAGGAGTTCAATGGTTAGTGGATGATTATAATACTGTATATACTGTATATGTTCATGATACCGTATTATATGGTATATATACTGGATATACGGTATCTATTATATAATGTTCATGATATATATATATATATATACACCGTAGATATATATATATACACCGTATATGTTTTTATTATATATATATATATGTTCTGCATAATGGTTGCAGGTTGTGTTATAAGTCACAACTCTGACATACCCGGTTTTACTCAGTTGTAATCGTTCCTAGATTATGTTATGACAGCCACGAGGGGTGCCCTTCCCAAGGCCTATGAATTGGCAGGGTCTATGCCAGCATCGAGGACCGGCCGAAATTCGCCACCCAAAGATTGTGAATTTTCACCGACAGAAAAATGGTGATTTACCCAACAATATTGGTGGAATGAATCAAGAGATTGATGATCTAACCAGCTAAATCAATCTAAATCACTAATTTTCCCAATACAATTTGGATTCACCAGCAAAGAATCTTACTTTACCTCTGGCAATCTGTCCTGGCACATAGTTACACCCATGTTACTCCATCTTGAGTAAGCATCTACACACATATTGATGGGTGATGTTCCGATTTCAGATTTCTGCCTCCTTCCTTGTTGGGTCTTGTGGGGGGGTTTGGCGAATGTATTGCATTGTGTGACCATGCAAAAGTAACGCTTAAAGAAATCAAAGAGACTGGATGGGATTACAAATGCCTCAGACCAGCTGACCTATTCCTCAACTCGAGACCGGTGGCATGTTTATGGATGTCTATTATGCTCTTGTCAAGACAACATACACGTAAATAGAGATAGAAACAACATGAAACAACTCAATCATTTCATCTGGATCAATTACAGATGGACTCCACAAGCTTCAAATCTGCTGATTTTGAGTGGTTCCCCTCTTCATCGGGTTCGTCTGAAAAGAAGCGAAACCACCAGAGGGGTGCCTCATAGATTCATGGGAACTCCTTGCCATTTTCTCACACTGCAGACATGGCCTATTGCAAGGCTCACCTCTTGTTTTGCGCCCAGATGGCTCACATGTAAATGGTTATCAGAAGATGCTGTGGATTTGCACCCCCTGTGCCATGCGTCACTCCTTTCAGTGACAAATGGCATTGAGAAAACAGGTAGCGGAGTTTGGGGTCCAGGGCTAACTGATCAGCTTGTGTCCCTCTCTCCCGCTCACCGTGAAACCTAAGCGATCCAGGTGTCCTTGGATCACTCCTTTCGTTTGCACCTTCGTCACAAGGTCACTGTCATTGATCGGACCCTTGATCTTTTCCACCTCCAATTCTCGTTCTGCAACTCGATCCTGCAACCACAGGTACTTCGCCTGGATGTGCCGGCTTTGTCCAACTCCTCGACGTTCACTCAGCGCCTTCGCGCTGGAGCTATCCACCCTCAGCTTCGTAGCTCGAGTCTTCCAGCCCCAGAACTCGAAGATTCCACGAATGAACTCAGCCAGCGTTGCAGTCCTCGTCATTGCATAGCACTCACTTTCTGAGCTTGACAGGGCCACGACCTTCTGACTCGACCCCTTCACCAGCAGTGTATGACTGCCCCATTTCACCACCGACCCAGAGGTTGATCGGCGTGTCTTCAAATCTCCTGCCCAATCTGAATCACTGTAGGAAATCACCGCCGCATTCTCAAGCGTCTGCTTGTAGAAGATCCGCTTCATGTAGGGGAACTTGAGCAAATAGCGCACGACCTTCTTCAGCTTCAGCCAGTCGTTCATCTTCGGAGCTTTCATGGCACTGGCTAGTGCCCTGACAGCATGACACAAATCTGGCCTGTCAGTTGAAAGGTATGCCAGCCTCATCACCATCGATCTGAATTGGCTTGACATCTGTCCTCCCAAGCCAGCTTGCCTCTCCGTCTCGATGAAGTCCAAAGTAGTTGGCTTGTCCTCAGGCACGTCGCACCCTTTGGTTTTCGAATCAAAGCCAAAGTCTCTGATCAGCAGGTCCACGTGCCTAGCATCAGCCTCGATCTCCAACCTCTCTTTTCCAGCCGTTCCATCTGGGAAGTACCTGACCAGACGGTTCAAAAAGAACATCTCTTGCTTCTCACCGTTGTCCTTGCCCAAGAGCGACTCCCAACGAGCGGTGTACTTGGCATTCAGAGTCTTGTCAAACCACTCGAGCTCCTCCAAGCTACCCACCACCAGGAAATCGTCTCCATGCACCAGACCGATGAGATTCTTCACCTTGAAGATCGCCGGGCACAAAGCACTGAACTCGGCTCCGTTGCCCTTCAGCCATTCTTGATAGTCCTTCTGGAAAATCTGAGACGCATCTTGCGTACCATACATAGATCTCAAAAGCTTCCCCATCATAGGACCAGGATCACCAGGATGTACCCGATCTTCTTCCGGCAGCTCGACATAGATGTCACGGGCTGCACGACCCATGAAATGCGCTCTGGACACATCCCAAGCTCCCATGAGCTTCCTCTTTTCGCCATGCTCCTTCTTGGACATGAAGGCGCTCATCAAGGCGTAGACACTCTCCACCGGCGGCGTAGCTGCAAAGGTCTCAGCTCCCCCCAGTTGCTCTGACAGCGGCTTTGCACGCTTGATCTCCTTGGCCACCAAGCGACTCCTGATCTTAGGAGATTGATGGTCTCCTTTGTTCACATCCACCCATTTCAGTTGCAGAGGTTTTCCAGTGCATTCCTCGGCCGTCACCCTGACATAGACATTCTCCTTCCGAAGCCAGTCCAACTCTTCCTGCCTCGCCTTCTGCACCAGCTCGGCATCCAAGAACTGCCCCGAGGAGTCGTCCACGAACTGCTCCATCTGTTGTTCCCATTCTACAGCATCATCTGGCGATGGGCCACCCACCTGCTCTTCCAGGGCACTGATGCTGTGATCTCGTTCCAATTGGTTCTTCAGCCCTCGAAGAATTGCCTCGCAGAGCTCTCTTGGGTAAACCTGTGCTGCTTTTGCACGTGATGCCCCAACCAGGTGAACATGCCGATGTGGTTCAGCACCTGGAACATAGTTGTTGCACACCCCTTGCAACTCTCTGGCAATCTCTTCAGAGTTGGTCAACCACAAGGTCTCCTTGCGAACATGTCCCCATTGACCCTCATCGTCTTGTGCCATCATGTTGAATCGGCACATGGGACTTTGAACCAAGAAAGTGTTGGGGAGGTTCACCATCTCTTCAACCTCAGGCTCATTCCAACTTGTTGATTCTTTCGGGTGCTCGTGCAAGTAGTACCCTCCAAGAGAATCTTGCAGCTTGCAACACTCCAAAGACCTCGACAATCTCATCTTGCCCAGGGACTCCTCAGCCTCTACCACTTCTGCCGGCCTCTTGAAGTTGCTCAGCCTTCTCAATGAAGAAAAGGTAGTGCACGGAGGTGAACTCGTCAGCAGCCACGGTTGCTCCACTGCTATCAAGTCCATCACCTGCTCAAAGTCCTCCATGCGATCAAGATCCCAAAAGTCAGATCCATCTGGCTTGACCTCCTCCAAGTCAATCGCTGCACCCTTTCTCAAACCAAATCTTTCCACCATTGTGTTCAACCTCTGCGGGGAGAAGACCTCGATGACGTCCATGGCTGCCAGCTGCGCCACCGTCTTGGCCGCCTCATAGCTATCCAAAAGTTCCGACAATGCCTGGACTGACCTCTCCTTCAGGCTGTCTGTGGCCTCAGCTGACCTCACCAGATCATCCACATCAACGATCTCTTCCTCCGCCTTTCTCTTGACTCCACTTTCGGCAGGCAGTGAATCTCCCAGGTCAACAGCAGGCTCTCCTCCAGCCGCGTGACTCCCCGATGGCTCTCCTCCAGCCTTCGGACCTTCCTCAGAACCCATCTCCTTATCCTCTTCTTCTCTCAGCCTCTTGGTCTCCTCTTTCTTCTTGTCATCCTCCTCAGTGATGTGACGTTTGATGCGCAAGCGACACTCCTCACTATGTGCCACTTGTTGGAAACCCACGCCCCTTGCCAAAGAGGCACATCCAGGGCATCCAGTGGTTTTCCCATACTTTGCCAAATGCTCTCTTCGAACTGGCCATGCCCTCTTCAATCCTGAAGGCACTTCAGTTGATGCACTCGGCGCTCCAATCATTGGGCTCTTGTCCACAGCCCCCTCGCTCCCTCCAGCTTCAACTTGTCCAGGGGCTCCTTCATCTCGAACTGGCCCTTCTGGTTGTTGAGCTTGTCCAGGAACAGGGGCTCCCGCAATCACCGGCATAGGTGCAGCCAAAGCCAACTGCTGCTGTCCTTCCACCGGCTTCTTCTTGACATACGTCCTGACATCCCAAGGCGCCCCACGAAGGTCATCCTCAAGCTCGCCCCACTTCTGGTCCTCACTCAAGATGTGATACGAGCTCCCCACCACAACTCCATCTCGAGTCATGGCCAAGATGCTGCCAAACCTGTTGTGGCACCCAACAAATCGTGCCTCCTTCATCCTCGTGAGGTCTCCACGACGCCCCTTTCCAGCAGGCTTCACCATGATCTTTTCCCCAAAAACTGGAAGGGCTTTCACCCATCTTTTGCCCGTGCGGCGCTCTTCAGGTGTCTTGCCATCTGCACCGACTCTGTGTCGATTGGCCTGTTCCGCCGCGTAGCGCGGCACCCAAGTCAGCAGCGGGTGTCCCTCTGGCAAAGTGCCACCAAACTTCTTCTCCACCATCATAGTAATGGCCCTGATGCGCCATTTGATCTCCCTCACTGCTGCTTCTGCTTCTCCGTTTGCCTTTGAATCACCTGCAGGGGACTCTTCGCACACCACCTTGTTCACGGTCTGCGCGTCTCGCCCTGCAGCCTTCTTCAACTTGACCAAGGTGTGCTCACCATCAGACTTCAGGACGATGTTCTTCCACCCCAGCAATTCCAGGAACCTTGTCAGGAGTTTCTGCGCAGTGGTGTCTGGATTCCCTTTCTTTTCCAGGGCAGTCGCCATCATCATCCCAGTCGATCTATCTTGGGCAACAAGGTGTGGTTTGCTGCCCTCTTCCTCGCCCAAGTAGAAGAAGTCCATCACCACCGTGTTCATGGTCTCCTGAAAGTGGTCCACCTTGCGGTGTTGCTTTGCATAGCCCGTTGCAGCCAAGCACTCAGTGCGCCAGTTGCGAAACACCGCATGTCCTGATGCTTCATGTTCTCTTCTTTCCTCCTCCGTTGGCACAGCAGGGTCCCAACCAGGACGTGCAGGTCGAGCTTCAACTCCTTCAGAGAAATGCTCTCCATCTCCGTCCTCCAGGTCCACTGCCTCCTCAATTGCACAAGCCAGCCTTGTCGAATTCGATGTTGGTGATGTAGTTGCCCGTCTTGGGATCGGCACCACTTCATGTGTCACCGTTGTTCCACCCACAGAACTTCTCTGACTCGGCGGCTCCGTAGGTGACCGTGGTGATATAGCTCCTTCCTCTGGGAGGTCCTCCTTCAAGTAGAAGTTGTAGATGCCGTCCTCTTCCAAGACAGGTATGATGCCGTCCTTCCCATGCTTTGCCACAGCCTTGTAGTAGGCTTCTTCCAATGCCTTGTTCACCGGGTGGCTCTTGGGTATGATTTCTCCTCCACCTCGACCAAGCCACGATGTGAAGCCCTTGTCATGCATCTGCCCCGCACTAATGAGCACCTTGTGAACATCAGCCACGTTGCCATTGAGCTTCCGCTTGATCCCAGTGGTGTCCTCTCCTCTGATTGCTGCTTTGCCATACCCTTGCACCACCTCACCAGGTGCAGTCCTCAGCCTCATTGATGTCGGCTCCAGGTTCTCAAACAGGCGCTTGGGGAACACGGTCACTGATGCACCCGTGTCCAAATTGCAGCAAATCCAATGTGGTTCTCCAGGGGCTAAGGATGAGACCTCAGACTGAGCTCTCTCTCGGTCTTCTCCTTCAGCAGGTTCTTCAGGAAGTTCTCCATGAGGTACTTCAGAAACATCCCAATCTTCTCCGTCATGATCTTCCTCCGGGGTCACATAGACGAACTCATTGCGACTGTCATCCCATCTCACCGATCTTGACCTCGAAGTCCTGGACCTCCTTGATCTCCTTGATGTAGTTCTCGACCGCGATGCATCATCTCTGAACGGCCGCTCCACCACGCTCATCCTCGAAGAAGGCGATGTGGATCTTGTCCTCCTCATAGTGCCCGGAAGCCTCAAAGGTGTTCTCGGCCTCTCGCTGCCTCGTTCTTCTTCAGGGTTGACCAAGGTGAGTGTCGCAGAGCATAGTTCCAATCCGCTGGCCGATGCTGGTTCAGGTTCAGGGTGACTTTCCAGCGACGAAGTTGCCTTTGGCTTTTGATCTTTGCCTTTTCCGGCACCCTTCCCTTTTCCACCACCGCCAGGGGCCCAACACTCCGATCTCTTGTGTCCAACCTTCCCACAATTGTTGCACTTGCCGGCGAACTTGATCTCCTTCTTTGGACTTGAACTCGCCGACCTCGATGCAGCATGTTGACCTTTTCCCCCTGAGGCCGGTTTGGCCCAACAGTCACGTTGCTTGTGACCCGGTTTCCCGCAGTTGTTGCAGGTACCCTCAAATCGAGGGTTAATCTTGTTAGATCCCCCTGATTTGTTCTTGCCCCCACCTTTCGTCTGTGCCAGCGAGCTGATGGAGCCCTGAACTACTCGAACCAAAGAGTCCACGTCCATGGGAGTTGCCGAAGAGGAACCGCCGCTCGCCTTGGCAAAGTTGGTGCTGATGTTGAGCCGGTTTCCGGTCTTGGCTTCAATGAAATTGACCACTTCCAATTCCATCTCCTCGAACGTCTTGAACCTGGCATAGTTGAGGAGTAAATGTTGTTCCAACTCCTTCGGCACCAGCTTCTCCAGGGAGTTCATAGCCAGCGACTCCGGCAGAGGTTCTCGTGCTCCAAACTGGTCCTTCTTCTTGTCATACCTCAACTTGAGAGCTTTCCAGCGCTCAAGAGCACTCTGCAGCGTCTCGTAGCTGGCACGCTCAGGGTTTGTAAGAGCATGCAACATCACCCTCTTTCTGCTGCCAGTTGCCGGGTCGAACCTCTTGTGAAGGCTTCTCCAAGCATCCAGCCCAGCTCCTGTTGCCACGTTCTCCACAACGTCAAATGGGATCCCCTCGGTCGTGGCCCGCAAGACGCTGTAGAGCTGGTTGTTGAAGTCGTAGACCTCATCCCACTGATCCAACAGATCAGCGGAGGCCCCATAGTTGTCGGAGATCTCCTTGTCGCCGATCTCCGTGTCCAAGGCTGCTGCCCATTCCAAGACCTCTCGGCTCTTCCCACCATACACTCCGTACACATAGTCCTCGAGCTTCACCGCCCACAAGCGAAACCTGTTTTCTGCATCTTCTCCAAGTGTCTGTGGCTTCCCAAGCCCCTTCGGGTCAAAGAGGCCCTTTGGCTTGGACATCTTTGCCAGCGCTTCTGGCAAACCCCTCAAGGCCTGCAGCACATCCCGGGCCTCCAGCCCGCCACCATTGGCCGTCGCCACATTCGCAGCCTCATAGGTCGCCATGCGCTCTCGCAAGACGCTGTTCTCGGCCTGTGCTTGTTGAACTTGCGCTTGAAGCTGGGTCATCGCGTTCACTAGCTCCTCCAAAGAGGCCATCGATGACCCCAATCACCACAAAGTGGATACCAAGGCCCTCTACCGTCAGGATGCCCACGATCAATCCAATGATGTAGGCCCACCAAGGTACTCGAGCTCGTGCAGGTTGCGCTCCAAGCACCAAAGGCCTCTCAAGCGCAGCACGGCCCTTTCGAGTAGCCTTACCAGCGAACGCTACCATGCAGACATGGCCTATTGCAAGGCTCACCTCTTGTTTTGCGCCCAGATGGCTCACATGTAAATGGTTATCAGAAGATGCTGTGGATTTGCACACACCCAAATATCATATTGTTGTGTGTTTAATTGGTTTTATATCATATATACAATGTGGGGCCCCCCAGTTATAAGTTGGTTTATAAACCCCCATAACTATAGTTTGTAAGTACCATAAACCATAGTTATTGGAGTTATAAACCAACTTAGCTATCTTGGGGGCCCCACATTGTATATATATATCACATTATCTCACAAAAAAAAAGGACCCACTATATACCCCACCAATATATTACCCATGTTATCAAATCCCCCGTTATTGTTTGTTGTTTCAACCAGTTCTTACCCGTCTCGAGAGGCGGCCCAGTTCTCTCCGCTCAGCCTGGTGCGCACCAAGGCGCTGTGGTTTTTGCCATGGTCTCCTTGGCACGTGTGATTGTTGCAACCCCAATCTATGGATGAACCATGATAAACCCGATACATAATATGTGGTATACATACATACATACATACATACATACATACATATATATATATATGTGGTATACATAATATGATGATCTTTGGATAATTCATCATCTTTGGATAATTCATCACTTTTACTATTCGGAATGCCCTTAAAAAGATAAAAAAGGTTTAACTACAACTAGTAGACTAGACTTGAGTGGGATTCCGTTTTTTCCTATCTTTGTTGGGCGTGCAAAAAGAAAGCTTGCTACAGTGAGATGTTACGTCGAAATCAACCGAAACGGCCCAACAGCAGCGTGCATCCACAGCTTGTTTTCAGCTCAACCTGTGTACCGGTCCACTGATTTGCTATGTTCGAGGCATTTCGACCGTCTCAGGAAAGCTTCCCATGCCCACCAAGGGGTCATTTTTTCCAATGTTTTCTAATGCTGGCACGAAGCTGCTGCAGTGGTAGATGTGGTTTCCATAAATTCATCGACCTGCACTGCTTCATTGCTATCCTGGCAGCGATGGGCCATGCAAATTCTTCAGGGTCTGACAAGGCCGCTGAATGCGTACCATCTATAGAGCTCGGGATGAGACATGGCAGTTTCACATGTGCTGATGATTACTGCAATAGCTGGTTGGTGGTATACCTACCCTCTGAAAAATATGAGTTCGTCAGTTAGGATGATGAAATTCGCAACTGAATGGAAAAATAAAATTCATGTTCCAAACCACCAACCAGATAGGTTTTGTCTCCAATCAACAATCAGAAACTAGAGCTATCGGCCGCTGCTGCAGACTGTGCGTCAACTTGTTCGACCCAAATGGCATGGCCCATACCCATTTTGGGTCGTGGTCAAATACCAAACTGTTCAAAACTGTGCGGCCAAACCCACATTGATACTTATCTGCGCCACTGATTTCAGGTATTATAGTTTAAACCCAACTGGGTTTGGTTCTACTTGATTGTTGGTCTTAAATCCCCATTTTTGCTGGCTAAATCCCGTTCTTGATAGTTTTCAATGGTTAAATCAACATATGTGATGGTGAAATGCAGACTTTTTGCTGCTTAACTCCCCTTTTTTTGCTGGTGAAACAGTCGCGCATTTTCGGTGAACTCCATGTGCCACGTGGCCTCGATCTCCGCAGCTTCTCTTCGAAAGGGTGCAGTCGCCAGGATCTAAGGTGAGGCCGGTTGGATACCATGAAACTATGGGAAAATCATGGAAACTATGGGAAAATCATGGAAACTATGGGAAAATCATGGAAACTATGGGAAAATCATGGAAACTATGGGAAAATCTATTTGGATATAATGGGATGGGAAATATTTCCCATGGATATTCTATGAAAGTGGCTATACTATAGGGATATAAACTATGGGGATTTATGGGATATATTGCAGCTAAGTTGACGCGCAGAACTTGGTGGATGTTTATAAGGGATATAACGAACTTTAACGAACTAATTAATGGGTGTATACCAACAAACATCACTGGGGGCTCACCTTGTACCTTCATGAAATTCAGGGGCTTTCCTGCAGGTTTTCCCTTCCGATTCAGAGAAACTTCCGATTCAGAGAAAGAAGAGCCATGGAATAAGCATACATTCGTGATCGTTTGAAAAAACACAATAAAATAAATGTTCTAATTGACATATCAATCATACAGTATATTGCAGTGAATCAATGTGTAGGTGGTAAACATGTTTATCATACATCAATTGTAGATATTTGTGATATAAGCAAATACTGCAATTATCTCATTCACTTTCTACTGTTTGATGACAAAGTGCTGCGAAACCACAAAATTTGTTTAAGCATCCATAAGTGGGATGCACCCTCTAAATGTAAAGGTGCCAACTTGTTGCCAACGACTGTTTGGTGGGGAGAATCCCAAACCTGATTTGAAAGCATCTTTGATGCTTTCCCTAAAAATATGGGGAGTATGAATACATACATATACAGTACATACATATATATATACATACATATATAATACATCTGAATCTGATTGCTCTGATCAGGCCGGTGATCATCATTGTTGTCGCAAACTTGCCACCTCACCATTTGTACCCCCGGTAAAGTTTCAAAGTTTGTGACAAAGAACAAAAAGGCAAAGTTCATAAAAGGTCTTGACAAAGTTGCTACCCTCTGGTAATTTAACATAGCTATTGAAAATGGTGATTTATAGTGGACTTTCCCATGAAAAATGGTGATTTTCCATAGCAAACTGTTAAATTGCCAGAGGCTAACTCTAAAAAGATGATTTTGGAAGACATCTGGACAATAATCATCCCGGAAAGCGAAAAGAATTCATCCCAGCCGGATATGCAATGTTACCCAACATGGTTATCTTAGGTCCAGAATGGGGAAATTGCCCTTTTAACTCGCCTTAAAACTGCCAGTTGAATAGACAAAAGGATGGAGAAATGTGGAGAAGACTTTGGAATTGAACTGATTTAAATGGATTTTCAATGGATTTTCACAGATTCTGAATGGATTTTCTGGATTTTCACGGGTTCCCACACTGGCATCACCGTGTCCCATCTGAGCTCACTGCTGGCGTCGCTTCCAAGACATCTTTGGGCTCAGAGCGATGCACCTCGCAAGGAGGTCGCGGAAGCGTAGCGAAAGCCATGGGAAAATGGTGACTTCGCCATGGTAAACTAATATATGGAATATATATGGAATATATATGGAATATATATATATGGAATATATATGGAATATATATGGAATATATATGGAATATATATGGAATATATATGGAATATATATGGAATATATATGGAATATATATGGAATATGTATGGAATATATATGGAATATATATGGAATATATATGGAATATATATGGAATATATATATATATGGAATATGTATGGAATATATACTGTGTATATATTTATATAGAGAATATATGGGTTTAATAAGATAAATGGTGATTTAATGGGATTTAATGGGATTTATTAGGATATATGATGGGATTTACCCTCTGGAAATTTGACAGTTTGCTATTGAAAATGGCCCAGTCGAAATAGTGGATTTTCCCATTATTAAAAATGGTGATTTTCCAGTTCGCAAACTGTAAACGTTTACCAGAGGGTAATAAGATAAATGGTGATTTAATGCTGGTGACTAGTGAATTCCAATTATAGCTGATTTTGATGATATATATATATAAAAAGCCAAGTTGGGATTTGTAGTTGATTTTTATGAAAAAAGCTAACGTTGGGAGCCGCATGACTTAAGCTTCACTCGAGTTGATGGCCATTACCAACTTGACTGGAGAGGCCACCGATGCCATGCGGCTGATTCATTGGGAGGTACCCCCTAGTGACGATGTGCTACTCAGATGGTATCCCTCCAATTAGACAGCCGGTTTGTCAATCCAGGGTTGGCATCATATATATATATATAATTACCAAGAACATGAAAACAGTTAAGTGAAATTTCAATGATAATCACCAGCCTGATCAGTATGAGCCAATGAAAACAAGTATGATCAGCTACCTATATATCATATCATTGGAAGCCACATGAAAACATGTCACCTACCTGAGAAGTGGTGAAATGTCACCTACCTTTCAGGTCTTGTGTTTCAACGATTCTCTTAACAATTTATCAGGGTCGGTTGTTGCAATTCAGCTCTTGTGTGTCTGAAAATTAGGTGGATTTATCCAAGCTATGGCCTGGCTACCCATCGAATTTCCCATCTGTGTTCCCATATTTTTGGTTGGTGGTTGAGCCTGGCCTACCCCTCTGAAAAATGATGGAGTGAAAGTCAGTTGGGATGATGAAATTCCCAACTGAATGGAAAGTCAGAAAATTCCATGGTTCCAAACCACCAACCAGATAAGTTTTCCCATATGTTTTCCCATATTTTGTTGCAGATTTTCAGCCTCCATCCTTCACCTTCCCCCCCAAACGCGGCCTGCAAGAAGGTGACTCCAACGAAACCCAGCAGCAGTGTCAGGAGCTGCTTCTTGGCCATCACACCATGGCATGGCCAGCTGCATGGCTCAGGAGTGCTAAACCCGAAACTTCCCACCTGGTGGAGGATGATATGTTTTGGGGGGGCAATGCAACTAGGGTTCTGGAGATCAAACAAGGCCAGAAGTTGGATGAGTTTGGCCAATTTCTACTGGACATGGGCTGGATGCATCATGTGATGTGTGCTGAAAAAATGATGCTACACAAAAAGCGAGTCTTTGGAAAAAAAAACACTTCCACGTCCATGATTTCGATTCATCCTTAACTCAACACCCACGCTGTCCTCTTGGTGCGAAAATTCATTGGTACATTCCTATACCCGGCTACAAGCCCAGAACGGCTTCGCACACATGAAGATGCCTCTTGTTCGCCAGCAATATCAAGTAGATGTCACTGGGTTGGATTCTCCACGAAAATCTATCTGCAACCACTTTCACCCGTCTATCTCCACGCGCTTTGCGTACAGGAAACCACGATGTTTCATCCACCAACTATGGCTAAAGATGGGGTGTTATCCTGCAAATGTTGAAAGCCAAGCGTGGGAAAAACATACTATCGCTGATCATTGAAGGTACCCTCGAAAATTCTCTCTTCAGTACTATATGATTTACCGTCCTTAAAATATGTGTATATATATACATGTTGGTTTTATTTACAACTCTTGAAAGTAGTTCGCAAAATCTTCGTCATATTTCCAGAGGGTTTTTTTGGGGGTAGATGTTGGGAGCTGAGCTCAGCATGTCTGACCACTGCCTGCATGCCCTCTTTGGCAGCACAGGCTTCCAACAGCTTGGAAGGCTCGAAGTAGTCGATGGGCCTCGCGACGGGACGACGCCACGAAGCTTTGGCAAATGTTTAAGGGTGATATTTCAGATCCAATTTATTTGAGAAAAGATTTCTAGAAATTTTATATATTATAAATCTTGGAACATATTATCAATTTGTCTTGAATGTGAATGAAATGGGCTTTTTCGTTTGATAAATCTCAAGGTGGTTTCAGACTTAGCCTTCCTCCTGGTCGGTGTTTTTTTCGCCACCCATCTACCTCTCTGGTAGTGACAAACACTTTGCGGGGAAAAGAACCGTGGTGAAAATGGGGATTTCACTAACAATGATGATCTAATGTGATTGAATAGGAGAGATCATGGGATACATCATAGTTTAAAGATGTTTATATAATGGGATTCAAATGAATACCCTTTGGTAATCAAACATGGCTAGCTTGAAAATCCTATTTAATTGTGGTTTATAGCTGGGAAAATCAATCTACCAATGGGTGATTCTCCATTGCCTTGTTTGACGAGGGTGAATAAACCATCGAACCAAACAGGCCATGGCTTCCACAGTGAACTCTTCAATTCCCGGAGGGTGTCCAGACTGATCATCTGTGGCCACATGTTGGTGTCCCACCCTTTCCACAGTAAATCCATTGGCAGATCCTGAGCCACCACACAGGTACTGCGGATTCTTGGTATATCGCTCCTTGGCCTGCTTGTCAAAGACCTGTGGCGGATCAGGTAGACCTAATACTTTGATAGTGGCTCCTGATTAGGGATGATCTACTGATAATGTTTGCTGGGTATGGTTTAGTGTTTTTTGCAACCCAAGAATCTTACCTACCATTCAGGATGATGTTTTTGGCATTTCATATCCATAAAAATTAGGGGATGTTAGGGGATGCTTTACCATGTTCAATGGGTAAATCCACTATTTCGACTGGGCCATGTTCAATAGCTATGTCACAAATTACCAGAGGGTATATCCATATATTCCATATATATATATATATATTCCATATATATATATATATTCCATATATATATATATTCCATATATATATATATATTCCATATATATATATTCCATATATATATATATATTCCATATATATATATTCCATATATATATATATATTCCATATATATATATATATACCATATATATTCCATATATGTTCCATATATATTCCATATATATTCCGTGTATATTCCGTGTATATATATATATATACATATATATACATAGTCCATATGTTAGTTTACCAGAGGGTAGGGTTTGGGCTTTACCACATCATTTGGTGTCCACGGCATTCTGAGTCTTGATCGCCTGCCGATTCACTGGGGACTATGAAAAACTTTCCAAATCTGACATATACATGTATGCATGCATGTATGTATCCCACTAGTAAAACCCATTGCAACCCATCGCCCCAGAACACCTTTAGCTTCTCCAGGATGGTCTTGAAGCCTGCCTAGGCGGTGGATAGCCCTGGGTTCACAAGAAAAACTTCCACGGCCCAAGGGGTAAAGTATGGAAAAATCATAGGAAAATCATCATCATCGGATACTGAGGATACAATGGGATAGAACATGATAGAACTAGCCAACTTGATATTCAAGATTCAGAAATCAAAAGAAACTTCCACTTTTGATATCCCAAAACTTGATCGACATGGCTGTCTTCACCCCCAAATCCAGCACCCCTCGTCTTTCGGCTTCCCCGGTTCGACCCAGCGGCATAGTTCTCCGCGAAGAACATGGGTCCTCCCTTCGAGGGGGGGAAGCCATAGCCGTAGATGTACCTTCGGTGGGCAATAGAAGGGACACCCTCCGGTAATTTGTTACATAACTATTGAAAATGACCATAGAAATAGTTGATTTACCCATTAAAAAATGATGACTTTCCATAGTTATGTAAACGTTTACCAGAGGGTACCTAAACCCTCCAAGTACCTAGAAATTTGGAATATCTCCATGAATTTGGATGAATTTGCCCGTGTTTATGGGGAAGAATGACCAGTCTGTGATTCCGCCCTGAACTATCTTAACTTTGCTTCGTACCGATTTTTGTTGGCTAAATATCTTTACCCTCTGGCAAACTGACAGTGTGCTATGGAAAATCACGATTTTTAAAGGGGTAAATCCACTATTTCTATGGCCATTTTCAATAGCTATGTTAAATTACCAGAGGGTATATCCATATATTCCATATATTCCATATATTCCATATATTCCATATATTCCATATATTCCATATATTCCACATATTCCATATGTTCCACATGTTCCATATGTTCCATGTTTTTGTTGGCTAAATATCTTTAGATTCTAAGATAACATGAAACGGATATGCCTGGCCAACCCCCGCATTGGCCAACACGCCAACGCAGGGCACACAAGGTCGATATCGGAGGATCGGGCAACATAGCCCTGCTCCAAAATTTTGAAGCCCTCGTTGATCAAAGGATAGAAGAGCCTGGAGATTTAAATTCATGGGATATCTATGGGATATATATATATATGGAATATCTATGTGCCAGGGAGTGTCAGGGTCAATTCTCTCATATTTTTTGTTCATATACATTGCTGTGGTTGTAAACCATCCAAGAAATGGGATATAATGAGATACCGTCTGGTAATTTAACATAGCTATTGAACATGGCCCAGTCGAAATAGTTGATTTGCCCATTAATAGTATGGTGATTTTCAACAGCAAAACGTTAGTTTGCCAGAGGCTATGATGTGTTTCTTCCACCATGTTGTAAACCATCCAAGAAATGGGATATAATGAGATATGATGTGTTTTTTTCATGTTTTTTCCACCATGTTGTAAACCATCCAAGAAAAAAACACCCTGGGATTTCAACCATCGAAAACCAGCCATCCAAAAAAGGACAGGTGGCGAAATCGTGAGATCGTTTCGACACAAGCCCCAGATGTCAATGGTGGGGATATTTTCTGGGGATCCCTGAAATTTCGGCCTGAAAAATAGGCCTTAGATATGCTGGATTATGGTGGGTACCTCCAATCAATCAATTTAGGATCCTGAAATTCCCATTGATGATGGCGTTGTTTCAAGAATGTTTCAAGGGAAATGTCGGGAGTCATTTGGAAGAAAGCTGTCAACAACATTCTTCAAACATCTTTTATACATCCGTTTCTCGGATTTTGTGTCAAACATGTGAAACTAGATCCAGAGTTGATACATCCATAGTTGGTCATCTGGAGGTACCCTGATAAAAACCTCGTTAAACCGTTAACGTGTTGGGCCAACTGGATGATGATTTCTTTACCTCCGAACGGTTGGCTCCTGGGATGCTTCACTAACGAGGGCAGAAAATTTCAGGGTCGATCCAGAGACCAATTCCCAGCATGGAAACGCTGGAAGCGGGTAGAAAATTGATGCAAATGGTAAATGATGTACCCTCCATTAAATTAACATAGGCCCTGGCAGATGGGGGTTGGAAGCTTAGTTTCCACCCAAAAATTGCTTTTTTTTCAGGGTCTATGTTCATTTACCAGAGGGCAAATGATGTAAAATTGATATCTGATATGGGGATACGGGATATGATATACCAAATTGATATGGTTACAGTAAATAACAATGATAATATGGGATATGAATTTACATAACAAGGATGATTGGTAATGGGGATACCAATAATGGGGATATAATTTGTCCTCGCGGGTATCAATATCACATATTGATTAGCACAATATCCCCATTATACCACCATTGTACCATTCTTTCAAGGTTCAATCGCCATTAATTCACTATTTAATCCATTCTCACCATTAAATCTGGATAATCCCCATTAATTTCCCCAGAATGAAATCCCCAGTACTGATTATCGTGATAATCAATAGTCAGTATGATCAATTGATTAAATCCCCAGTCACAATTGATCATTCAATCTGGATAAACAAATTTTTAACATAACAATTACATGTAATTACCCCATTTATCTCCCATTACCCTCTGGTAAACTAACATACCTATGGAAAATCACCATGTTTAATGGGAAAACTCACTATAAATGGCCATTTTCAATAGTTATGTTAGTTTACCAGAGGGTATCTCTCATTAAATTATAATCATCCTGAAGTGGGATGTTTTCTTCAGATATTCCCATATTTTCGCGTGGATGTTCTTTAAAAAAATCCACATTCCATCTCCAGGATTTTTCTATTCTACCATGGAAATTCCCCAATGTACAGATGATTTTCCAAGCTATAAACTTGCATTTCGTTCGCGGATTTGCCTGCTTGACACGTTTGATGACACCAGAGGATACCCTCTGGTTATGTCAAAATAGCTATTGAAAATGGCCATTTATAGTGGATTTTCCCATTGATAGCATGGTGATTTTCCATAGTTATGTTAGTTTACCAGAGGGTAAATGAACATGTCCCAGTTTATTCAGTTTATTCCCTGAAATCACCATCATGGTCATTGGATCCGGATCAACAAATATATATCACAGTAATTGTCCCATTCAAAAATCCCCATGGTTTTTTTTCAATGCCCATTTCTATTCCTATGAAATCATCAAATCTCTGTCACTAGGCCAAGCCTCTCGCAAATCTCTTCATCGCTAACGGCCCTGGCTACAACGCCCTTGGCCTTTCGGACCTTCAGGGACGATCGGAACAAAAAGAAACTGGGGGCTGAAATTTTGGCAGCCAAAATGGGGAAGCTTCACCATCAATGATGATTTAACGGGATTTCATTGGTATAAAAAATGGGATTTGTCATGGGTGTGTGGTTTTAATTTTTCTTTATATTTCTTGAATGTGACATAAGCAACGGCTGCATGTATATATGGGCCCCGACAGAATTTTGGAAATGGAAAAAAGGTTCGACATGGGCAAGCAAACAACTGCGGCGCGCCGGGGCCGTATTTTTCCATAATTCTGTTTTACTCATAAAAATGCACACCTCAAAAATCGGTAATACCTTGTATACCGAACCTTTTTGGAAGGGGCGTGACGCGCTGCAGTTAAATTTCCATATATATTTTTTCCATGTGAGGGTGCTTCTTGGCACTGGACCATTTCCATAATTATTTGTTTCCTGAAAGGGGTGACAACTTTTCTATTGAAATGTTTCCATAATTCTTTTGGCCATGCAGTGCATGATTATGGCTACAGTAGCATCAGTGGGAGATGTTTGGAGGATAAGGATCCCAAAACTGAATCTGGATTTTGTCCCAAAATCATGCAAATTTGCTGTAAACCAGGTAGTTTGGAGGATCAGGACCCGAAAAGTAAGATTTCCAAAATCAATTTTGCATCGTGGATTAGAAGCTTTTGTAGACATTTGTCTCATCCTTTTTTTTGAAGGATCAGGATCCCAAAACTGAACCTGGATTTAGTCCCAAGATCATGCAAATACGCTGTAAACCGGGTAGTTTGGAGGATAAGGATAACAAAGCTGAATCTGGACTCAGTTCCAAAATCATGCAAAAACATTCAAAACTAGGTAGTTTGGAGGATTAGGGTCCGAAAAGTAAGATTTCCAAAATTATTTTTGCATCGTGGATTAGAGGCTTTTGAAGACATTTGTCTCATCCTTTTTTTTGAAGGATCAGGATCCAAAAACTGAATCTAGATTTAGTCCCAAGATCATGCAAATACGCTGTAAACCAGCTGGCTTGGAGGATCAGGATTCGAAAACTGAATCTAGATTTAGTCCCAAGATCATGCAAATACACTGTAAACAAGGTGGTTTGGAGGATAAGGATCCCAAAACTGAATTTGGATTTAGTCCCAAAATCATGCAAAAACACTCAAAACCAGGTAGTTTGGAGGGTCAGGGTCCGAAAAGTAAGATTTCCAAAATTAATTTTACATCGTGGATTAGAGGCTTTTGTAGACATTTGTATACATTGTTTCATCCTTTTTTTTGAAGGATCAGGATCCGAAAACTGAATCTAGATTTAGTCCCAAGATCATGCAAATACGCTGTAAAGCAACTGGTTTGGAGGATCAGGATCCGAAAACTGAATCTAGATTTAGTCCCAAGATCATGCAAATAAACTGTAAACAAGGTGGTTTGGAGATGTTTGGAGGATAAGGATCCAAAAACTGAATCTGGATTTTGTCCCAAAATCATGCAAATTTGCTGTAAACCAGGTAGTTTGGAGGATCAGGATCCGAAAAGTAAGATTTCCAAAATTAATTTTGCATCGTGTATTAGAGCCTTTTGTATACATTTGTTTCATCCTGTTTTTTTGAAGGATCAGGATCCCAAAACTGAACCTGGATTTAGTCCCAAGATCATGCAAATACGCTGTAAACCGGGTAGTTTGGAGGATAAGGATAACAAAGCTGAATCTGGACTCAGTTCCAAAATCATGCAAAAACATTCAAAACTAGGTAGTTTGGAGGATCAGGGTCCGAAAAGTAAGATTTCCAAAATTATTTTTGCATCGTGGATTAGAGGCTTTTGAAGACATTTGTCTCATCCTTTTTTTTGAAGGATCAGGATCCAAAAACTGAATCTAGATTTAGTCCCAAGATCATGCAAATACGCTGTAAACCAGCTGGCTTGGAGGATCAGGATTCGAAAACTGAATCTAGATTTAGTCCCAAGATCATGCAAATACACTGTAAACAAGGTGGTTTGGAGGATAAGGATCCCAAAACTGAATTTGGAGTTAGTGCCAAAATCATGCAAAAACACTCAAAACCAGGTAGTTTGGAGGGTCAGGGTCCGAAAAGTAAGATTTCCAAAATTAATTTTACATCGTGGATTAGAGGCTTTTGTAGACATTTGTATACATTTGTTTCATCCTTTTTTTTGAAGGATCAGGATCCGAAAACTGAATCTAGATTTAGTCCCAAGATCATGCAAATACACTGCAAAGCAACTGGTTTGGAGGATCAGGGTCCGAAAGCTGAATCTAGATTTAGTCCCAAGATCATGCAAATAAACTGTAAACAAGGTGGTTTAGAGATGTTTGGAGGATCAGGATCCCAAAACTGAATTTGGATTTAGTCCCAAAATCATGCAAATTTGCTGTAAACCAGGTGGTTTGGAGGATAAGGGTCCCAAAACTGAATCTGGATTTTGTCCCAAAATCATGCAAATACGCTGTAAAGTAGGTAGTTTGGAGGATCAGGATCCGATAAGTAAGATTTCCAAAATTAAGTTTGCATCGTGGATTAGAGGCTTTTGTAGACATGTGTCTCACTTGTTTTTTCTTTTTTAGAGGATCAGGATCTGAAAATTGCTATTTCCAAAATTATTTTTTTTGAAAGTCCGTAATGTCGCTAATCTTTTGTCTTGGTTTCGGTCCCCAACCTTTTCCGCTAACTGCGGCGCGCGAACCTTTTTTCATTTCCAAAATTCTGTCGGTGGCTGTATATATATATATATGTGTGTGTGTGTTTTTTAATGGTATATGTAAGCAACAATATCATGAACTGATCAAAGTGATGTTTTCCCCTAGGGGAACTAAGAAAAGTTGGCGACAAATTGCACTGGTGCTATGTGGTATTTTTCGAACCGACAATATGATGCCCCTGGGGTGTGTCAAAATTTATTGGAGTAGTGGTGTACCCCTTAAAACAACTGAATCTTCATGTGAAAAAATGTGGTTAACCAGGAAAAGATTAGCCCCAATTGATAACCAGGAAGACAAAATATGCACAGACAAAACCATACACCGCAAAGACTGTCTTTTTTAAGGCACAAATGTTGGTGTACTAAATGTGCTCGATGCTTTAAAAGGCCAAAACACATTTCAGACCTACAAAACATAGAGAGCTGATATTGTCTATCCAATCCAATTTAGTTCAATGTAATCAAATGTATCTACCTCTACTACATCTATCCATTATATACGCGTATCAAAGAGTAGCGCATGTAGCGTAGCACGTCTCATCTTATTTGAGCCGATCTCCCCTTATATATTTGGTTGGTGGTTAAGCTACGTGTCTGCAACATATTCAAACATGTTCCTTGGAATCGTCCCAGTCATTGGTACATAATACCCTCTGGTAATTTAACATATATAGCTACAGGAAATAGCCCGTTTATAGATGATTTTAGACCCAATAGAAATCCTGATGTTCCATAGCTATGTAACAAATTACCAGTAGGTAAACCATTCAAAACCCCAACTCCCAAGTACTCCCAACACACAAGGCCAAGCAAATCAGAGCCCATCAACCAGGCTCTGATTATCTTGTCTTGGACTGGAGCCAGGAAGAATACCCTCTGGTAAACTAACATAACTATGGAAAATCATGGAAAATCACCATGTTTCATGGGTAAACCCACTATAAATGGCAATTTTCCATAACTACGTTAAATTACCAGAGGGTAGACCATATTCCCAGTAGATTCCAGGTAGATGAGCATGATGAACGTGATGAACCAGCGATCAAGAATCATTGACTGAGCGAATCCAGAACTATCATTTTTCTGAGTTCGTGAGTCATATCCCATCCCAAACCCCCATTACATGCCCATTATATAAATGTTTGTTAAAGAAAACATCGATTCTAATCTAGATTCCCGTGAAAATTACATATACATTGGATTATGTGAACCATTGGTATGTAATTCCCAATTTGGGAACTGACCATTAATTGCATCAACAATTAGATTCATATTGATTCCCATGAAAATTACATGTACATTAGATCCCTATGTAAATGTCTAATCCCAACTATTTAAATTTATTAAATCCCTAATTTGGGACTAACATTCAAATCACATTTAAATCACATTACCATTGCCAATCTTAGATACCCTGCAAGAAATGACAAATTCTTTGCTGGTGAACGGTTCGATATTCCCATGTAATTACCAAAAGACTAGGATTCGGATTAGTTTGTATCCTCTGGTAGTCGATTGACCTAGTTACACATCCAAAAAAAATCTTGATGTCAGCCATGTCAGCCATCAAACTTCCCGCCCCTCGTGTCCTCATCCATCTTTGCCACGACTTCTGGATCAACCGTCTGAGGCGGAAACCCGGAAAACAAAAGCCATGGACCCGTGGCTTGTCACACCAAAGCAGCCTATAATATACTATAGTATACTATAATTAGGATGTTAGAATACCAGTTCCAATAAAAGATATATTTAAAAAAAAAACATATATATTCATCTTTGAAACGTTGAGTTGAAATCCACCCATTTTCCTGATGTGTCTGCAGCCCAGCCCACCTTATCTCGGCCCCGGTGGATGAAAATGCCGCGGCCGTCCGCCTGACGAAAAATCATGGGGACCTGATCATCAAACATTGGGATTTCGTGGGAGTTCATCATCAAACATTGGGAGATTCGATTAGATTGGATTAGATTCGATTACATTCGAGTAGATCAGATTAGATCAGATTTGATGAGATTAGATTAGGATGGATAGATAGATAGATAGATGGATAGATAGATAGATAGATAGGTAGATAGATAGACAGACAGACAGATAGACAGATAGATAGATAGACATAAAAACATATTTCTTTGAGTACCTCTACATAAATTCTGTATACGTGCATTTAAACCCAAAAATGTGTGAATATACATATAAATAGACATATATATATATTCATAAATGCATGAATGCATGCACGTTTGTTTGTTTCACCTGTTGTGCACACCATTGCTGATACCCAACACACAAAGGTGGGTGAAGCTATCTATATCTTCATAAATACCATGTGTATATATCAAGATTTCTACGGTATATGTATGTAACTGCAGGTGAGTATGTATAGTATATATATAGCATACATATATTCTGTTCTGAAAATATGAAAGTCAGTTGGGATGAAAATCTTCCCAACTGAATGGAAAGTCATAAAAGTCATGTTCCAAACCACCAACCAGATTCTGTTGGTTTATAAACCATTATAATCCCCATTAATTAACTATAGTTATATCTACCATAAACCATAGTTAATCCATGGTTCCAAACCACCAACCTATAATAACAGTAGTTGCCCTGCAGCCCTGCGTCAAAGCAGCGGCAATTTCGCCCGGGCCATCCCCCGCTGCACCTTGATGGCCGGATCCGGGGTCTTCATGCCGAAGCGACCCAACTCGCAGAGCCAGTCCGTCAGCTCGTAGGGGCCTACAACGGAAACGCGGCGTGGTCCGTTGCGACATGACATAAATATATGTATATAATAACGTGTATATATATATACTTACACTGTATACCTAATTATATGTATATACTTACATACATAAAGTATACATTGTATGTCATATTTTGTATACCATAATATTGTATATACATATATAGATATAGTAACCCCCACAAAAGATAGGTAAGTTTCACTTTATCACTGTTTTAGTGGGATTTTACCAACATCTATCTTTTCGGGAATGACTTCAATTATAAGCTATAGATCCAGCCATACCTTCGGAAGCGTTGTATGATTTGAGGCTTTAAGAACCTTCTGAGGAAGTAGTTGGATCCATCAGGAAATATGTATATATATGTATGTATATCATTGTTATTTATGTATATATATATATATACATATGATATGCAGATGTGATTATGTAAGATGCAATTGTGCACATATAAAGCGGACTGATCTCTAGATATCCTTCTATATACACACACACAATTGTCACAATTCTCCTATTACACTCTGGTTATTTAACATAGCCATGGTATAGATGGCCCATAGAAATACAGGATTTTCCCATTTATAAACCTCCATTTATTTGGGATTTTCCATGGCTATGTTAGTCATAACCAGATGGTAAGATTCGTGAGTCTGAGAGCTTGGGTATTTTTGAAGATCCTATGTGAGTTCAACCCTTTGCTGGATTTGGGATCCTTGGGATCCGGGAGGGATCCGGGTCCCCCACCGTAGTAGGTCTTGGTCTGCTTCTTCATGTCACCAGCAGCCTCACAACTGACATTGTTTACCCTCTGGTAAACGTTTACATAACTATGGAAAATTACCATGTTTAATGGGTAAATCTGCTATAAATGACCATTTTCAATAGCTATTTTGACATAACCAGAGGGTACATCAAAGCTTCCCGTTACAATGAACCATGCCAGGTCGAAAAAACAGGTGTCTACCATTTGGTTGCAAAGGGGCCGCCTTTTTGTTGGCCTACGGCGGAAAAAAGGGGTCCTCAGAGTTTGGTAACTTGAGCATCTTTGAGCAATGTCAAACTTGTTGCTGAGATGCAAAATGGATCAAAATGATTGTTTCAGCCACATCATGGTGCTACAAGTGTGAGCGTAGGAGCCTGAAATTGGATGATATTGTTTATGCAAAGTCATTGCAAACATCCTCAAAGTCGTCCAAATGCATATGTCTGAAAATCGGGTAGCCCAAATCCTATTTGTTCAGCATCATGTCATATTCTGGGATAACAGTCCCCCATATTTCAATGGCCATAAATTGAGGGCCCACCGTGTCGACGTAAGGTGTCAAGGTGGTCCTTTTTTGTGTGCACTGAAATATGTTTATGTCGATCAGTTTCCCTTCAGTGGGAAATTCAAATCAAGACATGGTTCCACAGCACCAAACTACTTTAATTGACTACAAGCAATTACTATGTATATTATGATGTAGGTATTATCTCCTTTATAGATATCTGGTGAACTCCAAATGTAGAATCATCTAATCATCTCCAGTTTTTAGTATGTATTATCTCATAGTATCTCCAATATGTATGTATATATATATGTATATGTTATATATCCTTAGATTCTAAAGCACCAATTTATCCAACCAAGGACATCACCACCTTTTGTGTATCCACCTTGGCCCAGTGCGGAAACGGCACCTTTCGCTGCTTCCAAAAGAGCTCCTGTCCGACCAAGTCACCCAGTGCCATGGGACCCATGGCCATGCCTCGATTGTCGCAGACTGGGGAGGTTTCCATCATGGCCAGTTCAGACTGGTGAATAACATATAAACTCTATGGGAAATGGAAAACCATCAATTTTTGGGAATTAATATAGTTTTTGGGATATTTAACTTAAGCATCTCAATATATATATATATACATATATATATAATTATAGATATATATACTGTGGTTACCATAAATGGGAGGTTTCCATAAATGAGGGTACCCAAAAATAGATGGTTTATAATGGAAAATCCATCTATAAATGGATGATGACTGGGGGTACCCCCATGTTAGGAAACCCCCATCTGGTTATTTAACATAGCAATGGAAAAACACCATGCTATTAATAGGTAAACCATCTATAAATGGGCCATTTTCCATGGCTATGTTAAATAACCAGAGGGTATGTTGAAAGAATCAAATTTCATGTTTGAAAACATCAACCAAATGATTGTGTGGGATATCTATCATGTCTAGTACAACAAAAGAGTATCTCTTGCAGTGGGAGAACAAACATGATCGTTTCTTATAGCTCCCACAGTGGGAAACCAAAAAATATCATCACAGGAAGAAGTATCTTTTGTAGTGGGTAATCCCTCCCCAAGATTAAAGACCCCCCTAGAAACCATGCTTCAGAACGGGTTTACATTTATTTGGGACCATAGACTGGGATAACCAAATATTTGTTCCTTCGCTGACAAATCAATCCAGTAACCATCAATCCTCAGGTTGACCCACCATGAAGGTCAGCTCCAGTGGTTGAATCATGGCCAGAATTTTCAGATTCATCAGAAAGAAATCGACAAACGTTGTGGCTTGGATATGGTTTAGATATGATTACTTCAACAAAAGTTGTGGCCTTTACATGCTTCGATCCCTTTATTTGCTAGGTTTTAGCACTTCGCTGGCACCCTGCCCTGCCATGGAGGCCCAGTCCAAGACACCGAAAGCAGTGGCCGCTTTGTCGATCTGCTCCACGGTGCCGCCCTCCTCCCAGAGCATCTTCGCTTCGCCCGCGTAGGGTGCGATCTCGGAGGCTTGGATTTCCCACGGAAGTTCTGAGGGAATTTTCGGCCGAGCTGGTGAATGCTGATGATGGGTCTACATCAGCGCAAAGTGACCAATCATATCATTGGCTTAATAAGTGCATTAGTTACCATTTTTTTGGTGGCTGAAGGATGGTGAAGCATGGTGATGGTACCATTTTTTTGGTGGCTGAAGTGCTGAATAAAAATGTGGGGGCGGAACTTTCAGAAAATCGTCAGTCAACCAACAAGAAATGGTGAGATCATCAACCAGATTATGGTAAGTTGATATCCTCTGGTAAACGTTTACATAACTATGGAAAATCACCATGTTTAACGGGTAAATCAACTATTTCGACTGGGCCATTTTCAATAGCTTTGTTAAATTACCAGAGGCTAAATCTAAATTCAGAGTTGAGCAGGTGAAATGGTGATTTTGTATTGACCAAAAATGGTGACTTAATTGGAACTGACGAGCAAAGTCTGACAAAAATTCAATAAAATTGCAAGGTAGTTCCCCAATATCATCCCAACAATATCATCGCAGTTCATCAGACTGGGATTGAACCAGCAATTTACCCGGCCTGGTAAACATACAAAAAGCTATTGAAAATTGCCATTTATAGCATTAAGGTTCAGGAACCCAACCGGAACCGTGGAACCGAACCGTAGAAAATCAAATAGCCTATGAACCGTAGGAACCGTGAACCGCTGGAACCGTCTGCAAAACCGAACCGGAGGAACCGGAACCGTCTTGCCCTCCCCCAATAAACTGATTGGAACAGTTGTAAATGTTGTAATTGTTTTTTGAGTTCAATGGAAAAAGCAAATATGGGTTTCTTCATAATAAATTGCATGCACTGGCAATTTCAGGAAGCTTTGGTTTTCCGAGTTCAGCTCTCTCCGCTCTTTGAAAGCCGCGGCTCATGAAACCTCTTGCGGGAAGCAATAAACCTCTTGCAGGAAGCAATCTGTATTTGCTTTTCCGGCGCCGGAAAAAAAGCAAATATCAATGTAGAATGTTCCAAACACCGAACCGAACCGAACCGAAATCGACCAGGAACCGTCGGAACCGAAACCGAACATGAACCGAACCGGGCCTATAGCAAATACTAGAAACCGAAACCGAACCGAACCGAACCGAACCGAAACCACACTGTTATAGTGGATTTACCCATTCAAAATGGTGATGTTCCATAGTTATGTTAGTTTACCAGAGGGTAATCATGTGCTTTCACTTTTTTCACTTTCACAAGCTCGAAAAGGTCTGTGCCTTTGCTGCTGATGCAAACTAATTACAGAAAAACCTAAAATGTGAATATCAGCCAACGATATATGCTGAGTTAGTAGACCGAAAGTGGTGACTTCATCAAAAGAAATCGTAAGCCAACCAACCATAAAATCTAAGTTCACCAGTCAAATGGTGAGTTAAGCAACTAAAATTGGAAGTGAACCAACAAAGTTGTGACTTAAACAATCAGCTGAAAATAGTGAGTTACAGGTACAGCAAGCAACATAATGGCAAGTTGAGCAACTGAACTTGGGAAGGAACCAGGGAAGTACATTACAGTAATGGTTGCAAACTTCTAGCCAGCAAAATTCTAGGCTATATCCACAGTACGGTTGGAACAGAGTGCAACATCTCCCCAAGTTCTTCTGATTGAAATGTATTCCAATCCCATGTCTGTGCATAATATGAGGATGGGTCAAATCAAACTTGCGATGTTCCATATCTTTTTGGGGGAAGAACATGTATGACATGGAGGTTTCCTAAGTCATGGGAGTACCCCATGACAATCATTCATTTTATCATAGGATTTTACCCTGTAGACCCCATCCATTTTGGCGTTTCCCACCTCAGGTACCTCAGGTACCTCAGGTCCCGCACCATGCGATTTCCAACAAAGCCGTCGCAGTTGCCAACCTCAAGATTTTCTTACTGGTGCTAAACGTAGGGAATGGATGGGTTGCTGGGGGTTGCTGGGATGCTAAAATTGATAGTGATTATGGATCATTCCCGAACATTCCCTACGTTTAGCACCAGTAAGTTTTTCAGAGGCCACCTGCCTTTCTCGGGGAGAAGTTGACAAGGAAAGGGATGAGAGAGATTGAGAGTCTGAGAATGTTTGGTGGAACCAACCAAATATCTTGAAAGATCTTGAAGATTCTAGACCGATGGTAATCGATGGCTTAGCTGGACTGGAATGAGACCACAAACACGATCAGATCCAACACAAAATCAGCGAACCAGGGGGAAGTAAATCCCTCCGAATGGGGGACTTTCCATGGTCGTGGTTGATTACAGGTACTGGGATAGTAGGTGACGCGGTAAATATGGTATACAAAATGATACTTAATGCTCAAGTCACCACTTTTTGATGATTGGATACAAAATGGTGCAACCTCGTTTGATTTTTAGACTTCAGATACCTTTCATTTTATAATCCCTTCTCCCAATATCAAAACATATCAAACACCTCCCATAAACCATGGTTTAGAGAATGGAACCAGGTATTTGAGACCGTACCATGGGGGTGTTTTTCGGGATGGGGACGTGAAAAAGCCCCCATCCTCCACGAGGCCCTGACCATCACGCACTTCTTGTTGATGAGTTTTCCCATCGCCATGCCTGGCTGCTATGGCGACATTTCCGTGTCCACCTCCTATTGTGGCAAGTTGGAGTTTCCATGAAGAAGCAGCACATGGGGATATAACATGATTTAACCGTTATCTATGGGAAAATGGTGATATAATATGGGTAATGTAGTAAACCCAATCATAAACCTACCATTTAGGGGATGGTTTCTATACCATCCATTTATAGTGATGATGGTGCAGGTTTATTATTGGGTTTACCACATGATCAGGTATGTATTTCAATAGATCACCAAGATAATATATGAAATGAATGTTTCTGACAATGGGAGATACCATAAAAGTGTTAGGCTATTTTTAGAGAAAGATCATGATAAACCAATGATGACACTGTGGAAATCTGTGGAACCGATGGCCAACCAAGGCGTGTTGGAAAGGAAATCCTGTGTTGCTGGCGTCCCAAATTGTGACAAACACGCACTGGTTGCTGCTTTCAACCCCTCTGAAAAATATGAGTTCGTCAGTTGGGATGATGACTATTCCCAATATATGGGGAAAAAAAAATGTTCCAAACCACCAACCAGTGCAAAATGAAAACGCTCTTTCTTGGACCAACAGCAAATTGTGCTTTTCACCAGGTCCATTTTCCTGTTCCATCCCCTCCTAATACCCCCCAATCATGCAAGATTGGACCGTTTTAGATTCCCCCGTTTGGTTTCAATAGACTTCCCATTTGGTCCCCATTTGGTCCGCCACCAAAAAGTATGAACAGTTGAATGGATGGTTTTAGTATTTCCAGTTTTGATACAACATGTTTGGAAATAGTTGTTGTTTAATAATGGTGTAACCCCATGGTGCTAGTCATGTGGATAAAACATTGCAGATGATTGATCAATTACTAACCATTATATATCAGAGAACTATCCTCCTAACCCCTGGGTGTAACCCCTCAACTCTGGACATGGCTCTTAGCTTATCTTCTAGCCATTACTAGCCACGATTATCCGTTACTATCAATTTATATCACCATTTCTCCAAAAAGATAATGGTTAAATCATGTTAAATCCCCATGGTTTGCGTCTGTTCAATAGACCCCCTCTTCGTCTCCCTCACTCACCTGTGGCCAAGGTCTTCACACTGCTCTTGGCGGTGCGCACGTTCTCCAAGAGCTGCATGACCTACGCGTTGCGCAAAAAACGCGATGCAAAACGACACCAAAATCACTGCAAAAAACGCTGCACCTCAGGGAATTTCTGGGATAATAGTGGGATAATGTAGGGATAATGGGAAAATAATGGCTATCACTATATATTATTTACTGGTGATTCAATGAGACTTCATAGGGATTTAATGAGATTTAATGGGATTTATTAGGATATATGATGGTATACCCTCTGGTAAACATAAGCTATTGAAAATGGCCCAGTCGGAATAGTTGATTTACCCACTAATAGCATGGTGTTTTTCCATAGTTATGTTAGTTTACCAGAGGGTAACGGTTTTCTACGGCAAATTGCCACTTATAGGCTGATATGTATATAGCTGATTTACCAACAAAACATGCTAATTGTCCATCGGAATGGAGTGCAGTTGTTTGCTTTTGACTGTTCCAAGATGGCAGAATTATTGGTGTGTGTGTGTGCGTGTGTGCGTGTGTGTTTGCATGCACATACGAATCTTGCAAATGTGTGTGTGTGAACATTATATATATATATTATATATTATATATATATTATATTATATATATTATATATATATATTATATATATATTATATATTATATTATATGTATATATATATTATATTATATGTATATATATACGTAATTTTGTATAGCATCCATATGACTTTGTATAATTAACATCCAACATCCATGTGGTTCCCAGAAATGTCCTCAACTGAAAAACTCCTGGGATCCACTGGGGATTTTATCCTCTCGGGCTGCAACGTTGGCTGGAGAGAAGAAGTGCGTTCCCATGACACGTGATGGATCCTGCAGCTGTTGGCGGCTGATGATGGGGAGTGTTCACCCAAAATTGGAATTGACTATGAATTACCCTTTGGTAAACATACAAAAAACCATAGGAAAGTGGTGACTTAAGCAACAAAAATGGTGATTGTTCATGGGATTTGATGGTGGTTGATAGGAATTACCCTGGTAAACATAACTATGGAAAGATCCACCATGCTATTAATGGGTAAATCCACTATTTCAACTGGGCCATGGCTTCAATAGCATTTTGTATGTGTACCAGGCCGGGTACTATGATTTGGTATGGCTTGGTATGATTGAATCAATCAGAACGTGGGATTTTTAACATGATGCAAAACATGATGCAAAACCATCGACAATTTGGATTGAAGCATCAACAATTGGTGTTGTTCTTTTCTGGTGGATTACCCTGTGGTTGAATGACCATTGAATGACCTGTTTATGGACACGTTATCCATTGAATGTCTCTGAAAATGCTGGATATCCCAGGGTTTTTCAGTTTTTACATAGGGAAAATCATGGAAAATGATGAGGCCGTGAGCCACATGGCTGGATGTGGCAACGATCCGCAGAGTTGGAAGCAGAGGTGTCCTCAAATGGGTTCCCCAAATCATCCGAATGTCATGGATGACCATTTTAGTATTGAAACTCATGGTTTTGGGTACCCCGAATTTTAGGAAACCTGTAAAAAAAGGTAAGGGCCCCAATCAACTCCAAACTTGTGTGATAGGTGCAACAACCAGGTCATTTCTGATAGCAACCGATGGGCCTAAGTTGGAAGATCAATCCAATTTGATCCAACTGTTCATCTGCAAAACTCACAGTGTGCCCCAAAAAAAAATCTGCGTGAGTTTTGCTTGTGGGTCACAAACCTAGTATCCTCTTTTTTCTTGTTTCAATCTGGGTTGGTGGTTTCAACCCCTCTGGAAAAATATGAGTTCGTCAGCTGGGATCATTATTCCCAATATATGGAAAGTCATAATATTCCATGGTTCCAAACCACCAATCAGTATATATATATATATATAATTATAATGTATATTAACCATCATTAACCATCATTAATCCATTAATTGTGTGATCACACCCAACTGATTTGAGCCTTGAGTCTTGATCCAACCCGGACCCAGGTCAGCCCTGACACCTTCAGGACGGCAGCAATATCATCCTCCGTCCGCTTGGGTGAGCACACGGTTGGGCAAGGGCAGCAGATTATCTAATGATATGAGGGGTGTAAAAATGGAGCTTAATACATTCATATACGATACCGATACAAATTACCAGACAGATAGATAGATAGATAGATTAGATTAGATTAGATTAGATTAGATTAGATGAGATGAGATGAGATGAGATTAGATTAGATTAGATTAGATTAGATAGATAGATAGATAGATAGAATCACATCTCTCATTTATATATATACATATATATATAACCTGTCCCATCTTCAGGATCCAAAAATGAGCCAATCCAATGCCAAAGCGAGGTTTCTAGGGGTGCTTATTCTTAGGGAGAAGATTTTGCTCGCAGACATGCCAAACATGCATAATCCCATGCATCTCTACATATCTAGCTGCTAGCTCCATGTCTGTCGTGGAACATGATTGTCATGATTGACCGTTTTTAGATGTTTTTAGTGCGCAATTAAGAGCCAATGTACCTCCATCCCCAACTGTGTTTTGCTTTGTTTCTGATTTCCATCGTTTTCGTTTCAGGGTGTTTGAAATAATTCCCGAACATAGCGAACTGATTTCAGCCATGAACATCTCTAAACATCTCCGCGCGACCGACCACCGACTTGTTGGGCTGCCGCAATGGAAAGATTCGTACGTCGGGTGGAAAGAACAATCTCTTACAAACCACAGGTTTGCATATGGGATCATATGGCTTTGTCTCAAAATTGAGAAGCCCAAAATCTTCCACACTTCCAAACCTCATGTTTCCATCGGTTTCCCTTTAAAACTGCCACATTTTCTGGGGCTCAAACTTTCCATTTTGGGAGCCAAAATCCACCAAGGCGCAATGTTGAGACCGCTGGTGTTGGTGCAAATCAAGCAGTCCGGCTTGGTGTTCTTCTCAATATCCAGGAAAACCTCGAAATCGAACAGGGGATAACCCCCACTTCATATGGGTCCTGAAATCCTTTTCACCATCGGTTTCCCCATTCAACAGGACAACATGTTGGATTATTTGATTATTTGTGGGTTGCCCATCCGAACCCATAAGATCCCATAGATATCACATCCAAGAAGGAAAGCCGGACGTCCAATGAGCTAAGTGCATGCTCTGAAAAACCCTCCATTGGGGTACTTTCCTTCTTGGACACAAATGATTGGCCATGCTTGGGACCTCAAACCATCCAATTCTGGGGGAGTCAATAATTTTGAGCCATAGCATGCCCGATTTCTCCCGAATGCACCAAAAAAAGTTGGCAATGTCGGCGGAAAATCATCTTCAAAGCCGTCATCCAAAATGGAGACGATTCGAACAAGCACATCTGTGTTCCCCCTATGATAAAACGAACTTGACATGATCAGTTCACGTTCATGATTGTTAGCTTAAGTCTTTGTCAGCATGCTCATTTGATTGTTGAACATTGTTGAATCCAAAGTGAGTATATAGAGTTTACTATACAGGGATCATTCCAGTCATAAGGCAATTAATATCAATTACCATCTGGTCATTTAACATAGCCATGGGAAAATCATCTATATTTCTATGGGCCATCTATACCATGGCTATGTTCTATAACCAGAGGGTAATCCTCCCTTCATATGGGGATGGGTCAAAACCCTGGTACCTAGTGAACCCCAAAATAGCTGGTAAATGGATGTTCATCCCACTAAAAATGTATCTATAGGTATTGACCCATACCCATATGAATTCACCGCTGGGGCAAGTTCAAATCATGGCCTCCTTCTTCAAGTCCATGATCTCTGGCACAGCCTGGATTTGATGATTTCATGGAAGAAAACCCCAAATTTCAAAAAACGGCCCGTTGGTTAAGAACGGATGTCCCAGTTCACGGATCGTGATAATTTATGATACATTGGATAGAATTTTGGATAGTATATCTGTATAAGTCCATATATATATAATCATCAATCAGCAGGGGTATTGAACACTGCTGGCTCATGACAAAGACGCCCAAAAAATACCAAAAGCGAGTCCCAGTGCCTCAATGACCATGTCCACATCTTTGAAATCTGCGTAGTCCCTGGGTGAAAGAAATCTGCCAACTCTGGAGACTCTGGGTCAGGGTAACCCCAGAGTAGCCTGATTTTTGTATCTCCTTGTAACTGTGTGCTTGACCTTTACCATGATTTACCCCAGCAATCAGCTAAAAACAGGAAAGTAGAGAAAGGGCATGGTAGGGACCCCTTCTTATTGGGGCTAGCATCTTCCATGGCACTGCTTGGAGGTTACAATAATTCGTTTGTGGTGCAACAATGCAGAATCAAAGGACCGCACAAATGGCAGGTCGTTGTTCAACCACCAACTTTGGCAAATAGATCAATATAGATCAATGTATTGCTTGGTCGAAGATACCATCCACTCAACTCCATCAAACACAGCCAAGTAGGCTTTGGTAGTACCTCAACCACCAAGAAGGGTCATATCTCAATCCAGGAGTTCATGTCCCTGTCTCTGACCTGTTTGAACCACGGAGCCATATCTTGTAGCCTTCCAACCAAGTCACAGAGTGGGTTTCAGCATGCCTTGCTGCATGGCACCGCACCCGGGTTGGCGGTTTCATCGATGTGGATAGCTAGGACAGAGTGAAATAGCAACTGCAGCTATATACCCAAGCTATATGTACACATATATGATATATATATACCCGACAGTAAGTTGTGACATAGCTATGTTGAAATGAACCATTTATAGATGATTTGCCTATCAAACATAATGATTGTCCATGGCTATTTTAAATCACGAGAGGTGGGTGTTATGTATATAAATATCTATATATACATCCCCTAGGTTCAAGTACATTGAATAGTGCTGAGTACAGTAGTATGGAGAGCAACAGTGATTTCTGGAAACTATCCATGCTGTACTGGGGGGTGAAGAAGGTTGCTTGCCAATTTCAGGCGGTAAACATAGGTAAACCAGGTACAACATCTACAGATATCTACAGTTCAGGTTGGACTTTTTCCAGCCAGAGGGGGTTGAAGTGCAGCTGGAATGCTCATGTACTGCTGGAACTTCTCCTTGCTCAAGCGACCCTTCTTGGCCTTGCACCATGAAAGATCGAAAGCGGCAGGCCAGGTGACCCGTAGGGACACACCATGACCATAAAAGTGTAAGGTAGATCAAGTATTAAAATGACTACCATATCTACCAAAAATGACTTGATTACCTTGTAATACGACCATATTTTAGGGACACACCATAACCATCTCATCTTATTACGGTGCCAAAAATGACTCATTCCCATTTTGGGCGGAAAGCACGTTCATGCACTCATCGGAAAGCATTCTTCAGAGGATGATTTGGGAGGTTTCGGAATTAATTGGGGCACACGAAAATTTCAACATTGGTTTCCCCACGAAAACAACAAAATGACCAGTTCAACTTGGATGATAACTTGGGGTTCTCTACCTTTTGTTGGGGAAAAGCACCATTGTTTTTTCAATTCAGAAGATTTCGCAGCCCGCCTGCCCGCCCCAGAGGGACTCAATCTTCTTGACACCGCCATCCAACCACTCTTGCTTTGCATCCTGTGGGGGAGATGGCTCTACCCAGTCATTCGGCTGGAGTCTGGTAAGGGAAGTTGGTAGAATTAATTGATATCAATATGTAAAATACATATGTGAATATAATATATAATCAATATAATATTAAAATATCCTATAATATACATAATTGCATATATCATGCATAAATTGATCCGTACCAATTACTAATATGTTTTAATTGATGCATAGTGGGGTATCTGGGAAGTAGAAATCGAACAAATATCGGTATCTGCTCAGCCCAAACTGTGGGATTTGAGTTAGGAACAAAATGTGGTCCAACAGGGTCCAACAGGGTCCAAAAACCCTCCAGAAAAACGCGGAGACGACTCTTGTTTCAAACGATCAGGAAACTATGGTCCGTCTATGGACAAGAAAACATAATTGTTTGATATTGTTTGAGTCTGTTGAAACAATTAAGATGGACAGCTTGTATAAACACATCATCTGTCCATTTGTTTCAGAAATTGTTGGCTATTGGTCCTTTATTCGATCAAAGTCGATCGGGAATTGCTCACCAAATGTTCCAGCAATGCCAAGTAGACCTTCCGCTCGCCCAGACAATTCGAATTTGTGGATTCCCATGTTCATGGCTGAATAATATGCTATTCTGGTGCTGCATCATCATCACCACCACCAATCAGAATAGCAATAATAATAACAATAATAGTATATCATCATCATCATCAAATTCTCGAGTTTCTTCGGGGGGATCCAACGGTTAGAACGTCCCAGTCCACCCAGTCTACCTGCCTTCAGCACTACTGGGACGCCCTTCTGGATGAAACACATGGCCTCGGAAACTTGTGGAGCATGCGTGCTTTAAGGTATTTACAGCTCGAAATTTCAGGGGTTTTCGATGGAGAGTGTGGGATTAAGGCTCTATACACTATATTCTACGCTATTAGTAGACACTCTTGTTTTCAGTGCATCAGAACAACCTATCCAATTATGGGTGACGCTGGTTGTTCACATCCAAACATCGTCTAGTCTGTTCACGTTCGAATGCGAACGGTCCCAATTCTGTCATAATTATTCCGCTGATCTATTGCCACATTAGTTCCGCAATAATGCTATCTGTTCTTATACAGTAGGTCGAATAGAATATGCTGCTTTCCCATGATCCAGTCATTTCTAGATTTGCGAAACTCTGTGTATGGGTCGAACCGTCAACCAAACGAACTGGATGGCTTCAGATCCAATATGACTTGGCGATGCCTCAAATTTTGGGCACGAATGGACCCGCAAGACTTATCCTCTGGTTATTTAACATAGCTGTGGAAAATCCATGATCAATGGAGGTTTCTAGCTGGGAAAATCATCTGTTTCTATCGGCCATTTTCAATAGCTATGTAACAAATAGCCAAAGATTATCCAATAATTATCCATTCTTTTCCAGATTATCCAATCATTATCCATTGAATAACACTACATTATCCAAAGATTATCCAATCATTATCTAAATAACCAAAGATTATCCAATAATTATCCATTCTTTTCCAGATTATCCAATCATTATCCATTGATTAACACTAGATTATCCAAAGATTATCTAATCATTATCTAAATAACCAAAGATTATCCAATAATTATCCATTCTTTTCCAGATTATCCAATCATTATCCATTGATTAACACTAGATTATCCAAAGATTATCCAATCATTATCTAAATAACCAAAGATTATCCAATAATTATCCATTCTTTTCCAGATTATCCAATCATTATCCATTGATTAACACTAGATTATCCAAAGATTATCCAATCATTATCTAAATAACCAAAGATTATCCAATAATTACTTTACTTCGTGTGATCCCCACCATGACATTTATACATGTTCTTACTGGCACATCTTCTGGCATTCTATCTGACATATCTTCTGACATTCTATTTGGCATTCTATCTGGCATATCTTCTGGCATTCTATTTGGCATTCTATCTGGCATATCTTCTGGCATATATTCTGACATATCTTCTGGCATTCTATCTGGCATATCTTCTGGCATATCTTCTGGCATTCTATCTGACATATCTTCTGACATTCTATTTGGCATTCCATCTGACATATCTTCTGACATTCTATTTGGCATTCTATCTGGCATATCTTCTGGCATTCTATCTGACATATCTTCTGATATTCTATTTGGCATTCTATCTGGCATATCTTCTGGCATTCTATCTGACATATCTTCTGATATTCTATTTGGCATTCTATCTGGCATATCTTCTGGCATATCTTCTGGCATTCTATCTGACATATCTTCTGACATTCTATTTGGCATTCTATCTGGCATATCTTCTGGCATTCTATCTGGCAAATCTTCTGGCATTCTATCTGGCATATCTTCTGGCATTCTATCTGACATATCTTATGGCATTCTATCTGGCATTCTATCTGGCATATCTTCTGGCATATATTCTGAGATATCTTCTGGCATTTTATCTGGCATTCTATCTGGCATTCTATCTGGCATATCTTCTGGAATATTTTCTGGCATATCTATCTGGCATATCTTCTGGCATATTTTCTGGCATTCTACCTGGCAAATCTTCTGGCACTCTATCTGACATTTTATCTTCCTACATGAGGCCCGGCAGGGAACACTTGGCGTGGATACTCGCGGTTGAGGTCCGGCAGGGAACACTGGGCGTGGATGGTCGTGGTTGAGGTCCGGCAGGGAACACTGGGCGCGGATGGTCGTGGTTGAGGTCTGGCAGGGAAGACTGGGCGTGGATGGTCGTGGTTGAGGTCCGGCAGGGAACACTGGGCGTGGGTGGTCGTGGTTGAGGTCCGGCAGAGAACACTGTGGATCGCGGGTCGCAGTTGAGCAAGGACGACGAGGACGACGAGGACGACGAGGACGACGAGGACGACGAGGACGACAAGGATGACAAGGAGGACGAGGAGGAGGAGGAGGAGAGGAGGACGAGGCAGGAGGAGGCGGAGGAGGAGGAGAAGGAGGAGGAGGAGAAGGAGGAGGAGAAGGAGGAGGAGGAGGCAACTGACATAAAATCTAACAACCCTCACCTGGCAGGTGGGGAATTATCCATTCTTTTCCAGATTATCCAATCATTATCCATTGATTAACACTAGATTATCCAAAGATTATCCAATCATTATCTAAATAACCAAAGATTATGCAATAATTATCCATTATTTTCCAGATTATCCAATCATTATCCATTGATTAACACTAGATTATCCAAAGATTATCCAATCACTATCCAATCATCCATTATCCAAATAACCAAAGATTATCCAATCACCATACATTGTTTATCCATACTTTGGTAAGTCACCACTTCTACAACCAGAGGGTAAGTCATGGCCATTTCTATTTCACCATCCATTTGGCATCAGGCTTCAACGCGCTCCATCGCTCGATTTCGAAGCATGACGCCAGCCATGTTGTTCCCAAGGCTTAATCCATGTGTCTGGGGAAATTGTATTATATACATGTATATGATATTATAAGAGATATATACATTATATATATATATATATAACTTATAACTATATAACTATGTGTGTATATATATATATATGGTTAAATTATCATATTTCACTAACCTGAAATCTTGCGGCCATTTGGGGATGATTCCCCTTATTAACCATGATTTCCAGTGAGGGAGAACAGTGAGGTCGTTACAATTTACCCAGAATGTATCGATGTGTGAAGTTGCCCTTGTTTTGTTAATTAAATCGGCAAATCTCCAAAGGATGAAATTGCTGAAATTCAGGTAGACTTCACCAACCTCAAACACTGGTGGTTACTTTTCTATCCCAAAAATCTGATGAAAAAGTCATCTCAAGCAGTCATCCTTATGATTGAAAAACACGAGTCATATGGATTTCTCTGAAAATATGATACTATAAATCCCGGGATCAATCATCATTATCCAGTAATTATCCCTATCAAAAAGTTGCCATTTGGGGTTATACCCTATTTTCAAATAAACCCATATTTGAAACTCCCCAACCAGAAAAAGTTCGGCACTGGGCGAACCCCACAATGCCGCCACCTGAGCGATAGAAGGCCTAATGCCAAACCTCTCACCGTTTGAATGGAGGAAGATCATGAGATTGAACCCGCAAAAATGGTGATTCATCGGCAAAACTGCCGAGTATATGAGGAGTTAACCAGTAACAAAGTTGAAATTCAGGCCAGATGGAGATTTAAATCTATTGAAAATGGGGGATTTGACCAATACAAAATGACAACAATATTTTGATCAGAAAACACATGGATTTTACATGACCTGACCTTGAAAACTGGCCCGTTCGGAACGTCAAACGTCCGTCGATGTTTTCTAAATTTGGGGTGACCCCACTTTTGACCACAAATGGTTGGACACTTCTAAACCATCAAATTTTGGGGGGGTCCAGATGACAGTGAAACGGGCATGCTCTGCTCGAAAATGGTTTAACATTGAACTATACAATGAATATCAATGAATCTGGAGATATTTTTCAACCAGAATCACATGTTTTTATCCCACAGATCTCAACCACATCAAATCTCACGATATGGATGGCGCAGGGGATCTCCTCGTGGTTTCCCATCCAAATTTCTCTTCTCGCTGGTCAGTGATCAGGGCATCCGGGCCCATGAGTCCGGCGCCCAAAATGCCAATTTTCTTCAAAGGCATTGGCTTCTCATCAATCCCCGGCACCTGGGCTGAGCCGCGACAGTGGCACTAGTGGCACTGGCATTTCCGAAATGGGAAAATCACCATAAATGGTGAAAAAAAACATGTTCATCGTTGGTTTCGAATGGAAGAATCCCTTTTTGAGGTTGGATAAGTGGAGGAGATCAATGAAGAATACTCCATAGTGACCCCTATGTCCTGCCAACCCCAAACCGCTACGTCGCTACGTGTTCCTTCCTACTTTTCAGATGCTCAGAACCTCTGATTGCGGTCCCTCAAGTCCGCCAGTCGCATCCCATGATGTTTTCTATCAGCGACATCCCCACGATTTTGGCATGGTCATGTCCTGGTTAGGTAGTGAATTTACCCAGAAAAAGCAGCAAATCCCAGGTCTTCCAGGTGGATGGTTTCAATTCCGTTCTTGGTACCCGGCCTGGTAAACGTTTACATTTTGCGAACTGGAAAATCACCATTTGTTAATGGGTAAATCAACTAGTTCTATGGGCCATTTGAAAAATAGCTATTTTGACATAACCAGAGGGTATATCCATGTATTCCATATATTATATATATATATATTCCATACATATTCCACACATAACCAGAGGGTAAGTCATGTTTGGGATGGCGCAGCTGTTTGCACCGCACCAAACATCCGCCAACTCCAACCCCTTTTTGCCCATCCAACCAGGCCCCACGGGTCGTCGCCTTCTGCGCCAAACGCTCCGACAAGAAGAGGTGACGCAAGGCCTTGCACCGAGACCAATCAGATCTCCATTCATCAGCCCTTTTGTACCATCAAATTCCATGAAATTCATGGGATAATAACCATAGAATCCCATAAAATCCCATGAAATTCCCGTGAAATTCCTATGAAATCCCCATGAAAACCATCCATTCATCAGCCTATCCCATGCTCCACTCGAATCCCATCCGCTTTCGGAGCTTTTTTTCAACCACCAGGGGGCCGCGGATTCCACGGAGAAGACCAAGTTGGTGAACTGCTCCATTTCCACTTGCAGGCCCTGACAGCTGGGGAAATATACGGAGATTACGGAGATTACGGAGATTAATATGGGTATCTCGGTCCATAGTCACCCCACAAATATTGGCACACATTCTCCCAAAAAAAGCTGGGCTTCATTGAGGTTTACCAAAACCAAACCAACATGGAGATGATTTGACCACTTTTGCCAAAATCTTTGGCACACATAGATCCAACGTCCAGGCGGCTTTGATGGTTTACCCAAACAAATTTCAGATGGAGATGATTTGACCGGAACAATAAGGGAGGCTTCATCTCTGGCTGAAACTGGCACTTTAGATAATTATCATCAACCTGGTGAAGCAAAGAAATCTTTGTATAGTATGTATAGTAATCCCACAAAATGAATCAAAAATGATAGACAGGTGTTTCCAGGATGGTATAGATGATGTTTCTCCCACATATTCCAGGTTTCCAACGAACATCGGCATCGTTTTGGTGGTTGCTATACTGTAGCAGTAGTCGGAATTCGTTGCCAAGAGCAATCGCTACAAAGACCAGCCACACTACGATCATCAACATGGTTGACCCGTAGAAATGGACACATTGCCAACTGGGACATTATATACAAATATATATATATATATGTATGTATATTATATATATATTATATATATATATATATGTATGTACTGTATACACTTGAGAAACAACGGATGTCTGATATCTGCTCTGGTAGCTTCAATGATTCCCCCCGGACCATCCAACACTTAAGGGGCCCCATAAGGCCAACAACACCACACTTTGGAGCTGTGGAGCTCAGTGGAGACCTCCGAGATCCGGCCTCGCGGAAGGACTTGTGGGAGCAAGCTGCTTCAAAGCACTTGATGATGGCCTCGGCTCTGCGGCTGGAGCAAGCTGGAGCTGCTGTGCGGCACTGCGGGGCACCAGGTGGGCACCAGATGATGAAAACTGCCGAGAACCGTGCCCTTGGGGCGATCATCAATGGAGCCTCAGGGCTATGAACGCGCCCGGCCCAGGGTGGGCCGGGGGTCCCAGTGGAAAAGATGTATTTTCATGGCGGTTTATAGAACGGAAATCAGAATGAATCTGTATATAATGGGAAAAACATGGTGATCTAATGGAAAAATATGTTTCCAAAAATGGCAATGGATTTATGATGATGATTTCTGCCAGTTCATTCCCATGTGTCCAACTGTTTGGACTCTATTTTGGGGCTGCTGTATGTATAATCATGATTTGATAAGCAATGGTGGTTCATATGTATGTACACAGTATACATAAATATTTATATGTATATACATGTCTAATCAAAAAATGAGATATTATCGGAACGCCCAAGAATATAGAAGAGATCAAAGGTATACCGCTCTTTGATCTTATTTTACACTGGTTTGATTGTTTTTGGGGAATGCTAAAACCCGCAAATGTTCATGCACAGCGGCCATGGAAAGTAAACCATGGTGGACGTAGGGGATGGAACCACACATGACTGGGACCATAAAATGGGGGTATAATGGGGGGTGCATATGAAGGGGAGATGGAATGAGTTCACTTGACAGTTCTTGACAGCACTGATGCGGCTGATCAGCCTCCACATGCAATTTCTTTCATCCTATGGACCCTTCCATTTCCTGCACTTAGAGAAAGGCACATAGGAAGTGAAAGACAGTGAAACGAGCGTCTCGACCAACAATGGGAGGAAGTTTGAGCTAAACTAAATTGGGAATTCCATTTTAGATCGTCTAGATCTATACATGTTTTAGATCTTATAAGATGGAAATTCCATGTTCTAGAACAAAATATGGTAGATGTGAACAGATTTTGCAAACCAACAGCTGGATATGGGTGAAACTAAGTAACCTCGGATGGACATTTTCACATGACAAGGATGAGCAGTACACTTCCTTAGATCAACATATTTATCCAATTATTGACCTCCAAATGGGTCATGGTTTATCATCATATGCCTATCAAAATTGCCATTTGGGGAGTATACCCCTGTTCAGGCACACCCAAATCATAGAGTGTGTCATATATGTATATAGATATCAGTTTATACCGAATAAATTCCCATTAAAGCCCTATTACATCACCATAAATTCACCATTCAATCCCATCAAATCACCATAAAATCACCATTCAATCCCATCGAATCACCATCAAATCACCATTAAATCACCAAAAACACCAACTGAATCACCGTTGAATCCATTTTTTTGTGCCTCCTTAGTGCTTAGCCCTACCTTCAAAGCTTGCCGTTGAGGCACAGCATTCACTGCGGTGTTGAGGCCAGCCTCCAAGCCACCGGCAGATGCCATGAACCTGAGGATTTAACGAACACTGGGGGCACGACCTTTGGTCAATGACACCCTGGGTTTTCCAAATTTAATAGTTCTATACATGTTGGAAAACCCATGGTATCATTATATGATATTATGTGATAATATATAATATATAATGTATAATGTATAATGTATAATGTATATTATGGTTCTATATTAACCCATGGTTAATTTTATTGCAATATTAACCCCTGGTAAATATTAGTATAATATTTACATTAATATACTTTACGTTCTATATATGTAATTATATTCCGTGGAGTGTAATATTCAATAGTTATATTAATAATATGTAATTATAATCCGTGAAGTATAATCGTACTAATGGGTGTTCTACATTATCTACTTAATGGGTGTTCTACACTATGGTTTCTACTATATATATATACCGGTAATCGTCCTGAAGTAGATAGACGTGATTTTCCACCATGTTCTCTGGTTTGTTTGAAAGTGCCATATTCTATGGCGTGGGTCAAAACCCCCGCTTCTGTTCAACCTGGACTATTGAACGGGGTTATTGAACGTGGGGTGAAAATGGGTTACTGGGATTCGCGATCAAATGACAGATAATCATGGTGTATAGAATGTACATTGAGACCCAATTATAATGACCCAATACACAGGTTACTGGTGTATTGAATAAGGGGGCTATTGGGTTGTTGGGTCAGTAGAATGGGTTATTGGGTTATTGGGTTGTCATGTGGTTGTAGTTAAAAGCATAGATTATTGGGTTGACAACGATATTCCTGGAATGGGTTTAATATATACAATTCCCAATAAACCAATAAACCATATATATTGGTTGGAAGTATAACCTTCTATCATCATAAATAAACTGTGGTTTCAGTCACTGCTCAGTTGAATAGCTGGATTGTAGTGCCTGAGGACTGAGATTCTCTTCTGGGGGATGCAACCTGTTTCCAACCAGTTGCTGACTTTAGAGAACTTGCAAAGAAACTATGTAATGTGGTTAAAACACTAATAAACCATCCCCCAAATCACCATAAATAGGTGGTATAAACCATTCCCAAATGGGCGGTTTATTATTGTTTATACCATATTATTAAAGGGTGGAGCATTCCTGCATCAAAAGGGCCCAAGACTACAACACCAGACAAGACCCATTCACCTACCAAACCAAGGTTTACAGCACCCCAATCGGGATATTCCGAGGAAATCATGGGTCTGCAAACATCATGGGGATTCGGATAGCCGGATGGCGTCTAAAATGTTCGACAGTAGCTGACAAAATACATCCATCATTGTCAATCCCCCATAACCAGTTAAGGTCCCGGTCAAGCGCTTTGATCAACTAATTTCCCGTTGTTTCATAGTTGGAACCAGATTCTTCATGGTTTTTTTCCCCAGCCCCATGTCTAGTTTAATACGGTTAAATCTGCTACCATCTGGTTATGACTAACATAGCCATGGAAAATCACCATTTTTAATAGGTAAACCCAGGTAAACCATGTATAAATGGGCTATTTTCCATGGCTATGTTAAATAACCAGAGGGTAAATATCAATTTTTCATGTTGATCATGTTCAAAAAAATCCACCGGATCCGGAGCCTCCGGAGCCCCGCACCTGTTGGTCTTGGGCACCTCCCTCTTGGAGATGGGCGCGGGTGGATGACTCAAGGCCCATTCTGCTGCCTCCTCGATGACGTCCTTTTTGGCCACAGCATCCACGATGCCGTTCCTGAGCGAATCAATTCATTGGAGTGGGAAAATCCAGGAAACTTCTATGCTTCCATACTAGCTAGTAACATCTATTGACAATAATGCTATCATTGGATTGGGGAAATCTGACCCTCTGGTAAACGTTTACACTTTGCGAACTGGAAAATCACCATTTCACCATGTTGTTGTAGGTAAATCATGGTAAATCAACTATTTCTATGGGCCATTTTCCATGTCGCAAACTGTTAGTTTACCAATTCGGATCCCTCAATCCAATCCTCCAAATCCAATGTGATTCTCGTGGCGAATCTCCACACCCGCAGCTTCGTTGAGTGTCTCATCATATCCGCAGCTTCCTATTGGTAATTCATCTTCTGTTGTTGTACCATATTCCCAGTTTTGGGTGCTGATTATACATATATATATGTATACATATTCATATTCATATAATGTATAATATACATATATATATATATCATAATTGCCGGTTTTTTGGCGGTTTGTATAGCAACTTCCCAAAACCATATCCCCATCATTCGCGTTTTGCCTAAGGCATCGCATCCCCTCGCAGCGAGCATCTTCCGGGCAGCATCTGCTTTCAACCTCGGTGATCGCAAGAATCTCGAGTCGTCCCCGTGGCTCGCTTAGGTCCCGTAAAAATGGGTGAACTAACTAATTATGGTTACTAACTACAAAAAAGTGGGATGATCCTAGTAGTTAATTAGTGGGGTATTTTTAATCGTCGTTTTTTGGGGCCCCATATCCCAACTTATGGAGGTTCAAATCCCGCCTACCTCTGGCCTGCACCCCCAGTCGTCCAATTCCGCGAAATCTGGGTCAAAATGTCATTTTGCCCAGCCCAAAACGAACAAATAACAAAATTACTACGAAAAATATGACCCACATATCATGACATACTAGCATACCATACTAACATTTGAATACATTTGATGAACTGTTCATGTGTTGGATTTATTGCCCCTCAAAATGTCAAATGTGTTCGTATGATTGGTACTTGTTGTAGGGTGTGTTTCATACTAATGGGAATGGCCCAGTAATAGTCTGCTGCCTCCAATGTCTGCTTCATTGCGGACTGTGCAAAAATCATCTGTTCTTAGGTTCTCTTAGATGTGTTTCTTCGTCTGCATAAAATGTACCATGAAAATTGACAATATCAGGGTAGAGCTTTGCACACGAAACAACACTTGAAAAGCCGATATTGCAACACCCACAGAATATGGCAGTGTGTCAAAACCTTGTACCCCTGGTAAACATCAAAATAGCTGGTATATGGATGTTCATCCCACTAAAAATGGTATTAATAGGTATTGATCCATACCCATATGTTGATCTTGGGTGGACTTGAGGACTTTGTGGATATAGTGCTAGTCCAGCTTCTCCAGCAACAGTCAGGACCAGTCGATTGGTTGGTGGCTTCAACCTAACCCGAAAACAACTTGTAGATGGTGGAGTTTCATTCCAAACAGAAAGCTGTTCATCGTGTTGTTTTTTCTCGGATGATTCTCATTTTTGTTGTTTGGATGTTTTATATTGTTTTGTATATATATACATATACATATACATATATATATATATACATATACATATACATATATATATATACATATACATATACATATATATAGTATGTTTTTGTGTTTTAGTGTCATAGGAGTACACCCAAACGCACAAAAACCTCAAAGCTGGTGACTCTGGGGGTGAATCTCAAGCCCCCAAGGTATCCACTTAGAAAGGCCATCAAGTGGACCGCTCCAAGTTAAGTTGTGAATATGATAAAATATCTCGAACACAGCGGGCGTTTTGATACGTGGTCAAACAACGAATCCAAAATCGACCCTTCCAAAATCGATGCCAAGCAACGGCTTTCCCTGCAAGATCCTTAGTGCTGCAGGGCGAGGATCTGCCAGGAAATTGAGGAAAATCTCGTCACAACGACTGGTTTCGTCAGGAAGCATAAAGTTGTCATACCGCGCTTCGTGAATAATCAATGAAAGTGTGTATATGTCATATGTATATATGTATATAGATATATATATATATACATTAGTATACATACAATGTATTAATATATATATATAATAATACCATATACTTTTACATATAATTACATATGTATTGTCACATTGTAATGTTCGCGACTGGCTTCATCTGCATGGCCGTTGGCAACGGAGCCACCCGTGGCAGTCGTTGAGTCCCCTGGCATCGAGCAATGGGAAAAACCATGGGAACATCATGGGAAAAGGTAGGGAAATCAACGATAAATATGGGAAAACATAGGAAAATCAACCATAAATATGGGAAAATTGGGAGTTGACCATAGTTAATGCTGATTAAAAAGGAGATATGATGGGCATAGCGGCATATCACTATAACAATGTGATACTCAAAGGTGGTTTGTTGATACACCTCGCCTCAAACTATAGAAATCTCCATCTGCTTTTCTCCAAAAAATTGAAAGATTTGCCACTCGTGGTGACGGGAAAGATGAATTGGCTACCAATTTTAGTCCCTGGTTGGAAGTTGATTGGGGAGATCCATGGCCTTTCTACTCAGGTCAAGTAACTGAGTACGGAAGCCCTGTACAAAAAAGTAAAATGGATGGCTTGAATAGCGGCCTAAATACAACTATCAATCTGTGGGAGCCTTGTGGATAGAATGAATTTGACCAGAACATACCCAAAATGGTTAGCCTCCCATTGCCACAAACTCAAATATCGATATAAACTGTAGGAAGTAGCAATGTCAGATCTGGGCACTAACAAAAACTCAGCCTCACACCAAACATAGACAAAACAGAGAAAACTCCAACAAGTTCCCAGTCAAACTCATGTTTGATATTTCATGTGTTCCAGCTGTTTTGATGGCCAATCTTCCAGACCCAGTCAAGATCATTTTCAGCCATCGTCTTATCCACTTTGCCAGTTTCAAATTCGGAATTCTTTACCCGCAAAACTGGCAAAGTGGGCAATTCAATTACATGTTCCATAGGATTTTCCATTGGCCGGACAGTGCCTCGCTGGAAAATCCCATGGAAAATCCCTAGAAATTCACGGAGGTACTTCGCTGGAAAAATCCACCATGTGAATGTTTGACTCTCAGAGGCTACCCGGCCTGGTAAACATTCACAGTTTGCTTTTATAAGTGGCTGAATTCAATGGTTTATGGTAGATATAACTATAGTTAATGGGGATTATAATGGTTTATAAACCAACTTATAATTGGGGGGGGCCATCCTGTAGAAATAGTGGATTTACCCATTAACAAATGGTGATTTTCCATCGTTACGTAAATGTTTACCAGAGGGTAAATGATGTTCCCATCGCAAACGCCCGCTTCCCCAGGGATCTCCAAACAAGACCTGCGCGCCAGGTAGGAGACCCAAGTTCACCTGGCAGACAAAAAGTTTTTCCTCGGACCAACGTGAACCAAGGAACCATATCTTGATTCAAAAATTGGATACAATGGAAATGGTATATATTATATATTTTACCATTAATGTGAGAAAAACAATGCCATAAACCACCCATGACTGGGAATTATTTATATATACCACCTACAAAAATATGGCATTGACTGGGGGATGGTGCGTGCAAATGGCATTGTTGTAGCACCATGAAAAACAAGTAGGATCTAACTGGTGATACCACTGTAGTACTTTTAGCCAACCCTGGTGATTTAATCATCTTCCAACCCTGTTGATGGTTGGGGATGGTCCCAGGTGACAGATGGAGGTCGATAACTGAATCTATAACAAATGGGTTAAGTCTATCATTATCACTTACCATAAGTTACTGTAATCGTGTTATGATCAGGAAAGGATTATTGATCACATTTTTAATTCAGATTGGATGGATGCATAGACATAGATGGGTAAAATGTTTGATGATATCCGTATGCTAAGTGTAAATCGTTGTATATTTTGCTCAAAAATAGTTGGGTGTGTATTTACGATGTACAAACATTTGGACGGGCTCATGGATATACTTAATGTATATATATATACATATACATATACATGTACATACATATATATATATACATCTATTTGTCATATTTAATCTATGATATCCCCGCGATGCATAGCCAGTTGTTGATGACATGAGCCCATGGCACCCTTCAAAATAGCTGGGATTCATGGATTAGGATGTTTATCCTCTCCAAATATCCTAGAATTTGAATAGGTAATGATCCATCTCCAGAGAATTTCGAGAATTTCTGGACCATACCCGATTGGTGACGCACTAGTTGCGACTGAACTCCTGAACCCAGGGTTTCCCTACTCATCCACTCCCAAATAATGTCCAAGAGTAAGAAAACAGCACCTGAGAAACGTTGGCGAAGTCGTGCCTTTGCCCAATTTTGCTGGTCTCACCAGCAAATCAGCGTGGTTTTCCTAAACCATCCAACCTCGTATATTCATATCATCTATCCTGAAAAAACATCATCCCTCTGAAACCATGGGATTTTCGGGTTTTATCCACATCACTTAGGGCCCGCCGGCCCACCTCCGGAAAACCCACGGAGGCTTTGTCCGAGGCCACCCTGTAGTGACCTGGGACCGGTGGGAAAACGAACGTCCGAGGCCACAGAAATGGCGTGACATCGCAGCATGGATGGGGTCCTCGTAAACGAGCGATCGCATGAACCGTTGGTGAACATCAGTGGCTGAAAAAACCATGGTTTATGGTGGGTATAACGAACTAGTTAGGGCAACTACAGTTGGTTTATTTTTGTGAATAAACGATGTTTTATGGTAGATATAACGAACTAGCTCATGGGGATTATTTCATGGTTTATAAACCAACAAACACATAACTGGGTGGCCCCATCCTGTAGAGGCCTCAATTTGGAACACTAACAACATCGGTAGGTGCTCCTTTTTGGACCTAAAACCAGAGAGAGAAAAATCCATGGAAAATCCATGGGAAACGCGTTCCAGGGTGTCTTTTGACCAACCAAGGTGACCAGAACGTCCATCAGGCCACTTAGATGATTGTAAACGTTTCTCAACTCAGAAGCGATGAGTTAAGCTTTAGAACCAGTTCAATATTCGATTCGACTTCATCACCAGCATATAATACTTCATACCCTCTGGTAATGACTAACATAACCATGGAAAGATTCACCATGCTATTCATGAGAAAATTCACGAAATTTCTATGGTGATTTTCCATCGTTACCGTAAATGTTTACCAGGCCGGGTAACTCACCAGCTGTCACCAGCTGCAACCACATCTTAGGACCCCAGGGCTGCGTCAAAAAAAAAGGCCAAGAGGGCTGACATACTGTGGCTGTCAAACTGGCTGTCAACTCCAGTGGATTTCATGGGATTTAATCCCTCTGGTAATTTGTTAAATTGCAATGGAAAATCATCGGTAGATTGCGCTCAATGAGCGGTAAATCATCTCTTTTAGTCGGTAAAATCAGTAAAAAAAGTGGTCGATTCGGACGGGCGTTTCAGAAAGCCATCGGCGTAGCCTTTTTTCGCCATGTCTTCGGGATCATGGGGTGACAATCCATTCAACCAATGATCGTAGCCGTGGATTTGGACAATTACATCTCAACATGAACTATAATCACTATGATGAAATAACTGGTGAAATAACTATTTATCAGTTGAGTTATATCTTCAACCAATTATAGTGAAATCTCAACATCAACACATCAACTGATCTGGTTGGTGGTTGAGCCATCCCTCTGAAAAATATGAGTCCGTCACTTGGGATGATTATTCCCAACTGAATGGAAAAATTAAAGTCATGTTCCAAACTACCAACCAGTGATTTATATCACTATCTATAATCTATAAACCACTGGATTTCACTATATTTCACGAATTTCATCATCAAGGATCTGGAGAACGAAAATCAACATAAACTAGTCCATCCCAAATCTTAGTCTAGCTTCTCTCCACCTTCCTGTCGCCCCATCACCATGATTATAAGAACGTTATTATCATCGCCTGTTATACCCATCATGTATACTTATCATGGAATTGCTTAAGGAACCACCAAAAAATAAAACATATTCCCTATAGATTTCCCAAGTAGTGGATTTCCTATGGAAGCAATTAAAAAAAGTCTTCAGCAAATCCAAGTTATCATGTATACTATTAGATAGTACTACACATCGTATAACCAGTTTTATGTGACTGTCCAGTCATACTGATTATTGAATACTAGTGATAATCCATGGGGATATCCCCACTAGACCCGCCATACTAAATAGTCATTAGGGTTTGGTCTCTATCAAATACCCATTGAATATCATACCATTAGATCCCCATCATACCGATTATGCCAAGTCATTCTGGATACATCCATAGAAGTGAGTCACACGGGTGACCACGGGTGTGTCTGGAAAAGGGGGTACCCGTAAAATAGGTGGAAAAATGATGATAAACAATTGGACAATAGCGAGAACGCTATTTTCAGACAAATGCAAAAAAAAACATAAGTACTATTGCCATCACACTGTTCTTGATGAATCCATAAGTTCGTCTAGTTTAGTCTGAATGAATTTATCTATAATATATGTATATGCATACCTATCTATCTACATATGTTCTAATATGTATATCTGTATCTATACATATATCTGGATAAGTTGTACTAATTCACGAACCTGAAGAGTGTGCTGATTTTGGAATGGTTCCTATACTAACCATCATTTCAAGCGACGTCGCAGTGAAGTCGTTATAATTTATCCTGAGAGATTAATAACCTTCTCATGATACTCGCATTTATTGGTGAGTAAATGCCCATTATCTATATCTTTATGGGAATCAGTAATCAGATATGTAATTACTGGTTATTTATCCATTACTGCTCCAATCTTTATGTAATCTTTATCTATATCAGATCTAGCCTTATTAACCATGATTATACAACCATGTGATCCCAATGTTTGTTGGTTAAGTCACAATAGTGGATGCTGCAATCACCATGATAGCTATTAATTGTATTCTCATTTGCTGACGGTTAAATCCCATTTTTTCATGTATATGTTATGTTGTCCTATCTTTGCAAATCCCACTTTATCCTCAGCCCCATATCCCCATCATATCCCCATGGTTTTAATTAATCACTTTAAAATGGGAATATCATCTAGAACCTCTGTTTTTTCCCGAAAATCCCATGGAAATCCCCATTTTTCACGGAAATCCCATGGAAATCCCATGGAAACCCCCCATTTTTCATGGGTGAAAAATCCTCCCGAGCCCCTGAGCAGCCCCGACATGCCAAACTCACCTCAGCCCCACCACCCAAGGCTGGGCCGTTCAGCGCCGCGACGGTGGTCTTGGGCGAGGCGTCGATCATATCCTGCCGAGTCCGGAGTTTTCGCCATGAAAAATGGTGAATTCCTGGGATTTCCATGGGATTTCCCCAAAAAAATTATGGTTTCATGGGACTTAACTGGGACTTCCACTGGATTTTCCCCCATCAAAAATGGAGATTTAACATGGTAAATCCTTTGCTAGTTATGGTGATCTTCCATTTACCATCTGGTTATTTAACATAGCCATGGAAGCCATGGTCCATAGAAATAGATGATTTTCCCAGCTAGAAACCTCCATTTATGGTTGGGATTTTCCATGGCGAACTGGCAATGTCATAACCAGATGGTATAGCAAAAACGCTGAAGGATTGAACTACCCATCCAAGGTCGAGGATGCTCACGAAGATTTCTGTTTTCAGCAGAAAAAAACATGGGAAATCCACTGGGAAGAATTGAGATTTCACCAATAAAAATTGAAATTCAACTGACAAGAATGCGGGGTTTCACCGGCAAAAAATGTGATTTCACTCTGATTTAAGCCGCCAAAATGCTGAGTGAACCACTAAACATGCAAATCGAACCAGCAAAAATGTGGATTTAACTGGTTGTATCACTGGAATAATGTTGATTCAATGGGGTTATTTCACCATCAACAGTGGGGTTCAACCAAAATCTGGAGTTGATCAAAACTAGGACGATTTCATCAAACCCTGGATATTGGATGCGCATATGTGTTCAGTAGGTATTTATATAATATGGCTATGGGAATATTTGAATATATAACATGGGTATATAGTCTTATATATTTATATTTGTGAATATATAATAATTGTTATTTGATGCGGATATTTCATGCTTCTGAGATTAATTGGTTTATATCATGGGGAATGAGGATGTTCGAGGATTGAAAAAGGGATAATGAGGATCTAATGAATATATATATATAGAAACAACTATATATGTGACTTATATGTGATTTAAACAGCTAAAAGAGATCAAACTGGTTGTGTGTGTAGTATGCGTGCATATTTGTAAATGGAATATAATGGTGGATCGAATGGGATAAAAACAACATGATAGAAGGACAATCTATCTATGAACACCCAGGATTTTTACATTAAATATAAGGAATTCCTGCAAATGTTCCCGTGATTCAATTCTGGGACTAGAGATGATTAGAGTATATTAGAGTATGATCATAAAATGAACCTGTGTTTGTCTGAAAATAAATCTGGTGCCACTAAATAAGATAATTTATCATCATGTTCTCCGTTTATATTGCCATTTGGGTGTATTCCTCATTTTCAGACAGATCCATACGAATGGAGCAAAAAAAACTCTCCTGCTATTTCCTGGTAATACACTGGCGCTACCAATTACCCCTCCCAACCCCCAAAGGCGCAAGGGAAAACGCCCCTGACTGAGGCCTTATTGTAGGGGGATTATCGGTGTGCAATCACTAAGACATCCAGTTGATCCATGGCCCCCCCATCCAACTCACCATATCTCACCATGTTCAAAGCCAAGATCTCAGATCCACATCTGTACAATCACCCCCATACTCAGCAGCACCCCATGCCACTACCGCTCCATCGCTGGAGATGGCCGCGAACGCGCGTTCCGAGGCCGCCAGGTGTCGGATGTTCTGCAACTGGGGCTGAACAGCGGAGGCATCGCCGCCGAAGTCCGGACTGCCCCAGGCCACCACGCTGCCATCGGCCAAGATCGCTGCGAAGGCGCCTTCCGTGGACTGAATCTGCTGCACTTCTTGAAGTTCATCCTGCACCCTGCTGCTGTCACCGCCATAATTTGGATGACCCCAGGTGACCACCTGTCCATCTGCCAGAAGGGCACAGAATGCGAAGTGAGTGGCTTGAATCCGCTGCACATTTTGCAGTTGATCCGCCACAGCAGTGCTATCCCCACCTCTGTTCGCAAGACCCCAGGTCACCACCCTATGATCTGCCAGTAGGGCAGCAAAGGCGTAGCTGGTGGATTGCAGCTCCAGCACCGCAACTCCAAAGTCCTTGGCCTCTTCCAAGGCCAAGTCATCCAGCATACCCCAGGTCACCACACGTCCATCTGCCACGGCGGCGAAGGCGGAACCGTCCTTGGTGCTTTGGACCTTTTGAACCCTCCACTGGTGAGCTGAGGCACACCTACCGCCCCAAGATGGATGGCCCCACACCACCGGAGTTCCATCCTGCAACACGGCCACGAAGGCGCTTGAAGTCGACTGGATCTGCTGCACATTTCTCAGCTGATCTTGGACCTTGCTACTGTTGCCACCGTGATCTGGATCGCCCCAGGTCACCACCGTTCCGTCCCCCAAAATTGCCGCAAAGGCGTGCGCATTGGACTGAATCTGCTGAACATTCCTCAGCAGCTCCTGTACTTGGGTGCTGTCACCACCATACATCGCGTGACCCCATGCAACCTTAGATTTGCTTCCAGGGGCCCAAATAAAAAGGATTCCCTGTAGATTCCCTAATGGTGGATTTGGGAAATAAGCCAAAATACGCCAAATCACCTTAACCAAACCCAGGCAACTGCCGAACCATCTGCCAAAATCGCGGCAAATGCACCTTTCGTGGCCTGAATCTGCTGTACATTTCGCAGCTGATCTGCCACATCATCACTGTCACCACCAAAGTCCGGGCGACCCCAGGTGACGACGCGGCCATCACTCAAAATCCCGGCGAAAGCATAGGCCGTCGACTGCAGTTGCTGAACATCTCTCAGTTCATCTTGGAGTTCCAACACCTTGTGGGATTCTGGACTCAAAAATGGGAAGCCGCCATCCCATGGGTTTTAAACATCGTTTTGCGATGAACCAGCCATAAATTGGGGTACCCAGAGTCCGATGACATAGCGAAAATGACCAAGTTCACATCATCGAACTGAATGGTCCAAGCAGCGCGTTCCATAGCTATGTCTGTGTGAAGTTACGGAGGATAAACACCATTAACCATGATTAAAAAAATCCTTTAACTCCCATTGAAACACCATCAATCACCATGAAGCTCCATGAAAATCATATGAAATCATGCCATTGACGTTGGCTTTTTGGGGTTCCTTCCCCACCTCGTAAGCACAACCACCACATTGGGACTCACCCCAAGCCACCAAGCCGTCTCCAGGACTAAATAAGGCAAAGGCTCTCCTGCAACGTGTCGTCCGGCAGGGATTTTCAACCACTTTTTTGGTTGCCCTCTGGTAATTTGTTACAATTCGCTATTGAAAATGACCATAGAAATAGTTGATTTACCCCTTAAACATTGTGCTTTTCCAAAGTAAAATGTTAGTTTACCAGAGGGTATTTTTTGCCTATTGATATGAAATGACCCTATTCAATCACCATTTCATCATATGTTTCATGGTTTAAACTCCCCATGGCTCTGAAAAAATCACCATCAAATCCCATTCAAAACTCATCAAATTCACCATGATAAATCACCATGAAATCATGTTTATATATATATGGTTAATCCTATTAAAATCCCATTAAACCCCATTAAATCCCATTAAATCCCATTAAAATCCCATTAAACCCCATTAAATCCCATTAAAATCCCATTAAACCCCATTAAATCCCATTAAAATCCCATTAAACCCCATTAAATCCCATTAAAATCCCATTAAACCCCATTAAATCCCATTAAATCCCATTAAACCCCATTAAATCCTAATAGTTAATGATGGTTGGTTACCTAAAACTCCCCATTTTCCACGGCTTCTCCACCCCACCTCGTAGCCTTCAGTCGTGGTGCCTTCACCAGCGCCGTCAACAGCTCGCCATCGCGCAGCGCAGCCTCCAGGGTGGCGCCAACGCGCAACGGCTGGCCATTGGGCGCCAGAAGTTGCAGGAAACCTGGCGCATTGAGAAATGGATTATGATAATTGGATCCTAACCATTGGAGAAGAGTCAGGGTGTTACATAATTTACCCAGTAACACACTGGTTGTTGTACAGGATGGCGCCCCCAGTCGATAGCGTGAACCGTTGGTGAACATTTTTGTGGCTGAAAAAACTATGGTTTATGGTAGATATAACGAACTAGTTCATGGGGATTATTTCATGGTTTATAAGCCAACAAACATAACTGGGGGGCCCCATCCTGTACCCTCTGGTAAACGTTTACATTTTACCATGGAAAATCACCAAAATCACCATGTTTAATGGGTAAATCAACTATTTCGACTGGGCCATTTTCAAGTTCGCAAACTGTAACAAATTACCAGAGGGTAAATGGCGCCATTCATAATGGATTATTATATATATATATAATTAATAATGGAATGTTGTATCTGTTTTTCAAGACACTGAGATAGGAAATAAAAACGTCGATTTGTAGTAGATGTAAATTTTGGGGTCATCAAATAGTGTTTTGAAATATGTTTTTCATTGCTAATACCGATACCCTCTGGTAATTTAACATAGCTATTGAAAATAACCCATTTATAGTTGATTTACCTATTCAAAATGGTGATTTTCTATAGTTTTTTGTATGTTTACCAGAGGGTACCCAGTCGAGCACCTGCAAACGATTCCGGTAGGTGATCATTAAGAATAGCCTCTGGTAAACTAACATAGGCCATAGAAATAGTGGATTTACCCATTAAAAATATAAAAATGGTGATTTAATGGGATTTAATGATATGATGGTATACCCTCTGGTAATTTCTTACAGTTTGCGATGAAAAATGGCCCAGTCGAAATAGTTGAGTTTCCCCAGCAAAATAGCATGGTGATTCTCCATCGTAAAGTGTAAACGTTTACCAGAGGGTACAGGATGGGGCCCCCCAGTTATAAGTTGGCTTATAAACCATTATAATATATTATAATCACCATGAACTAGTTCGTTCTATCTACCATAAACCATTGAATTCAGCCACTTATAAACCAACTGAACTTACAAAATTCCTAACGTTCTGGAGGATCACGTGGCATTTTTTAATGGCGAAATGGCAGGCACAGCTCCATGTCAAAGCTGACCATAAATGGGTTATTCAACTGTAAGAGTCGTCCCCAAATGGTAGATTTTAGTGACTGGAGATGGATCCATAGATGCTGAAACCCATTCATAACCCAAAAAAAACATAGTTATAACAACCCCAATCATCATAAATAGATAAGAACGGATATAAATGCCCAATAACATGGTTTAACAATAACCCGAAATGGTACAACCACCAGGCGATATATTTTTTTCCAACATCGCCTTGTCCAAAGCTCTTCTGCGCCCAAGCCTTGAGTTCCTCAACTTTGGTTGAGCGATCCACGGCGAAACGTTCGCTGCGACCACTCAGCAGAGTGATGTGCACGGCAGTAGCACTGGAAGTCGCCATGGCTTTTTTTCGATGTCCCAGGGCAGGCAATGGACCATGTCAAAATGTATGGAGATGGGTCAAAAACCGATCAAAACCCATATTTTGGGGGTATGAACATCAATTTTACCAGCGATTCCAGGAATCACCAGGGTACTGATGGGGCTTCTGATCCATACCGCCCATACCCATATCCCTTGTGGGACGAGATATGTGCTGTAAACCATCCCAATCTCACTGCTAAAATGGTCAGCTTTGGGCATCAAAAACGCCCAAAGGTGGCTGGAACGTGGATGGGTTAGGGGGTCAATTTTAAGGAAAGCTTACACCAAAACCCAACCAAAACGAAGGGTTTTGGACCCAGCTTTCAGGTATTTTAATGATGGTGATGGCCAATGATTTGCCATGATGATCCTCCGATTCTTGAATACTTTAAGGAATGCATGGTTTGTACTCTGTACCCCCCAAGACATACGGGTGAATCCCTAGAATCCTTGCAATTTTGGGGGGCTCCTTGTCCCCACGGATCACTAGTTCTTGGGAACACCAGGGACCATAAAAAAGTCAGTTCGGGATGAAGACGTGCATCTTCTCCATCCAAAAAAACTGATTTTTTTCTCGAAATTCTCATGGTGACCTTTTTGTTGATCCCCATCAACTTAAATACACAACTACCACCAGCACTGAATCCATGGTGAGTGGCCTCAGGTTCCTATTTTTGTTGGTTACCATCTGGTTATGACATTGCCACTTCGCCATGGAAAATCCCCGTGTTTAAGTTCGGTAAACCATCTATTTCGATTAGGGCCATCTATACCATGGCGAACTGTTAAATAACCAGAGGGTAAATAGTTAAATGCTGTTCTTCGAATCGCCAGGTTTCTGGACATAAAATACAAAGTTATTAGGATTCCCTGATTCTATTCTGGGCTTAATGTCAACCCTGGTTGATTTAATTAGTGACTTTCCCCCCAAAGAGTGAGATAGTTATGATTTGCTACGAACATGATACATTCCCAATTCAGAAGCCTAGGGATTTTAGCTAAATCCAGAGTTGACACTACCAACTATTCTATTACATTCTATTCCCATGAAATATCACCAGATAGATAGAGAGATATATATATATATATCACCAGCTAAATCACCATAAAATCAAAAAAAAACCAGTACCAGACGGCAATTCTAATTGAATTCGCATTGAATCACCACTGAAACCTCATAAATCCCCATAAAATCCATAAAATCACCATAAAATCGCATTAAAACACCACAAATCATCATTTCTACATTACACCTTGACGCAGTTTCTCACTTGCATCGTCTTCTTCCACTCCGCCCGAAGCCGGTGTCCATCATTTCGCTCAAGGCGGCCACTGGGTTGTTCTCCTCGCAGTGTAGGAATTTCATGGGAATAGAATGGGGATATGATGGAGTTCATGAAGAAATTCATGGGATTTTTGGAATATATGGAATGTATATGGAATATATATATATATATATACATCTCAAAGTGTCATATGAAACAGATACTGTCTCGCGCTCCCGCAGCTTTCTTTTTCCACAGCTATGCCTATGCTCAGTCAATTTCGCCTGCAATCCTCAGGTTTGCTTTGGGTTGTCACGATGTGACACGTACATAGCCCCAGACCAGTTTCGCCACTGGTCAGCTGCCTGGCAACCCAGGCTGGAACCTGCTCTGCAGGAATCACCCATCCCTTAAACCTAAGGGAAGGAAAAACTCTCTTGGTCGCCCCAAGAGAGGATCCCCGATAGAGGCTATGGACTCGCCTGCCTTGCAGGTCCCGTAACCTAGGCGGACATCTCCACGGGAGGTCGGCTCTTAGGGTTGGGAGGGTGGGGAAAGAAAACAGCAATGAATGCTATTTTGGTTCAAGTTTACTTGAGCCAAAATGATAGCATTCATTGAAACACTTGAAGATGATACATGCACACCCAAGCCTGCCAAACTCAATGCATGGGTACATCTCAAAGTGTCATATGAAACAGATACTGTCTCGCGCTCCTGCAGCTTTCTTTTTCCACAGCTATGCCTATGCTCAGTCAATTTCACCTGCAATCCTCAGGTTTGCTTTGGGTTGTCACGATGTGACACGTACATAGCCCCAGACCAGTTTCGCCACTGGTCAGCTGCCTGGCAACCCAGGCTGGAACCTGCTCTGCAGGAATCACCCAATGCACTCAATTCCCAAAGCACTAAAGGTATTCGAAGGTGAGAATGACAGCTGCAAAGGGTAGCTGGAACAAGATTGTAGGGAGGTACGACGAATAAAATTCAAAACCATGGCATCGCCACCATGGATCATTGACGCCAAGTCGGCTGATATCGTCAGCCCAGTTGCTCTTGCTCTGGACGTACTCCCAATATCCTTGGGCTCGCAGTGCAAACAGAGCTAGATGGATCAAATGACCTAGCTTCGCTAAGTCGGCATTGCTAGAACGTCCTCTCACTAGCGTCATGACGGCTGCTACGTTGTCCAAAAACCAGAGGCCGTGTCGGTTTCGAAACAGATCAGGCCTTTCGACAAGGGCGTAGAGCACCATAGATAGTTCCAATTGGGCGATATGCGTCTCTGCAGGTTGCCAAAGTGTTCCGAGCTCTGCACAGTTGGTCGCGACAAAACTGTGACGAATTTGTGATCCGTCAGGCTGGAAAAAGATCAGGTGAAAACCTCCTGAACCAGGATTGTCTGCTTCGACAGCTGCGTCGGAGGCTGCCAAAAAGCGCAGGTGATCCAGGTGCAGAACGGGAAATTCCCGTTTTGGCTGAAAGCGCATAACCGCTTCGATCACCTCGAAGCATGCTTCAATCTCGGGAGTGATGGTCGAGGTTGTCTCGTCTTGTCTGGCTTTGATGGCCATGAGGCCGCCATATCCCACTCGACCGTAGATTCCCTGTTCCAGGAAATTGGCCAAGCCGTACAGCTTCGATGCTGCCCCTCGGCTAAAATGGCCAGTCACCCTGGCTGTTGCCAACATGTCACGTACTTTGTCATGGAGCCGTTCTCGAGCCCAAAACTGTACATGCCCCGTTTGGTTGATGGAGCTGAGATCATGAGTCAATCCCAAAAAGGTTCCTGTGCTCTGCATTGATTGTTTCTTGTCCTCTGCGAAGGGGGAGCCGATAAGAGAACACAATTGATTCATGGCCCATTGGCCTGACCCTTTTGAGGATTGCAAGTCTGTAATGGTCGCATCATCAAAGTACAGGGATGTCAAAACTTGGCAAAAACGCCTGGCTAGTGCCTCCAATAGCCTGGAAAAACGGTTGAATGATGTAACCGCCAGCGGCAGTCCGAAGAGTAGCCCAGCGTAGACTTGGTATGCAGGGGTTTGCCATTCGTGATGGTACCACACCACCACGCAGCCCAGACTTTCCTGCAATGCCATAGGGCAATACCTGTATGCTGAAGGCAGATCTTCTTGTCCTGTTTCCCAAGCATCGTTCGCGAAGAAAACGGCTATCTCGTCATCTGTCCAACGATGCATTGCAAGGCGAATGTGCTGGGCAGGACGCAATGGACTGCACAATGTGAGCTTGTTAGCATCAGACGACAAGGCTGATTGTCCTCCGGTGTCCCCATTGTCGATCACACGCTGCTTGCCTGAGCTTTGTGTGATCACGCAACGCGGGATCAATCGATGGGCCTTGTTGCCAATGGCTCGCAGGAAATCTGTCCGTCGCAAGGGCTCTGTGCAGAAACCATTCGCTGCGTCCTCCAATGACTGCTGCAGGAGGAACTCATCATCCTTGCCTGCTCTCAGCTGGCCCAAGATGTGCTGATTGTGTTCCTGCCATCTCTCCAACACGTCTGCCATGCTGATCACCTCAGCTGGCTGCTGGGGGAATATCCCATACGGTGGTGCGTAGCCCACTGCAGGCAGCCCACGGATCAGACCATAGGGAAAGCTGGTGTCTGCCCATGATGTCAGCAGCATCAGCAATGCGATGAGCCCCACATCGCGGTGCCGTGTTACCTGCTGGATAGCCGGCTCTTGGAAGGATCGCAAGTGGAGGGTCACCCCCTCCCAGCGTCTCTTCAGCTCTCGCATGGCCCCGACTGCCTGCTGTCGCCACGGGCGCAACTGCTGGCCATGTGCCACATAGGCATCTGCTACGAACTCCAGGTCTAAGTCGACGACTGGGAGGTCTTCGTAGGGCAACGGGTGCTGGGCTCGTTGGACTGCTTGGTTGAAGTGGTCCTCAGGATCCAAGTTGAACGGCAGCAGTGGGGGCAAAGCGGCACGGTGTGTCATCGCACCCACTTGGCACCCGTCCCCAATCCGTGCGAGCTGCCTCACTGACCCGGCAGCCAGATGCGGGACTAGGGGCCCGTCCCAAGCTTCTCCTCGCTCTGCAAGCCAAGTGGCATATGAGCAGAAGGGCGGGCTGTTGATAAGGTCTTCAATCATTGCAAACTTGTAGTTCTTGAACCAGTGCTCGGGGAAAAGCTTTTGGAATGCCAATACCAGTGCTTCTTGGCTCATCATGGGTAGGGCTACCCCCCTGGGAATAGCCTGGATCCCTTGCAACAATGCCACAGTCCTACTCCATCGGCCATCGGTGCCCCGCTGCATCGGGTCACCCCCAGGGGCGGTGGCATCGAAGAAGAGGCCAATGAGCATGTCCGCTTCGCACAGGTGCTCCATGGGGCAGTCACACGCCAGCTCCATATTGCTAAGCTCATGCAAGGCGTCCCACAAAGGTGATGTTCGAATATGGACAATGTACCTGGCCGGCCATTCACCGGCTTCGCAGTTGTGGCCCGGTGTCCATGGCGATTTCCACTTGGTCGTCGATAGGCGATGATGAAAGCTGCCTCGGCCGACGTAGATGGTCTTGCGTGGTAGCTTGTTGTTCTCGATCATCACCTCCTTGACGAGCCTTCGGACCGGTAACCCCGATCGTTCAGCCCTCAAGGATTCTGTGAGGCCCAGCGTCACCGCCAGTGGTGCCATTGCCCACTCCCGCATTGCGCGCGGGTCCATATCCAGCCAATGTTCACGGCGTCCGACTGACATGAACGTGGGCATGCGTGGGACATGCAGGACGGCTAGACCTGTGCGGACTGCCCACCAACTAGCCGACACTGCAATGGCAAAGGCAAGGACTGCTGTGTACTCTGCCTCTTCTTTGGATGGTAGAACCTCTGGCCGTCGGAGGTGTATGGGGTCCATTCCTGTGGGTCGTGCACATGGTGGCAATTGGCTGGGGGCCAGCGTTGGATCTCCTCCACATTGTGTCGTAGCACTTGATGTTTGCAACGCGCCCCGCCCAAAGTACATGCCGCATAGGCTGTGTCGAACCATTGTCCCGATTCCCACATAGTCACCTCTGTGGACGTCCACCAGTGCAAGGAGCGGGCAGGGTTTTCACGCACACTGCCTCCCCCCCTATCCCGCAACTTCTGAATTTCGCCCAAGACATAGTTGCAGGCTTTGTTGTCAAGGTCGACTCTTTGGGCATCCCGGCTGTTGAGGTGAGGCAGGCCATCAGGGTAGACCTCGGATCGAAGAGGACCAGGGGCTGGCCGCCCGTCTTCAAACTTCCTGGGGATCTCCCTGGCCCTGCTCTTTGTCGAACAGTCGATAGCTGCCGCTATGAAGATCACCTCTTCAAGCTGTTTGCTCAGTGAGTGTTGCCGGCGCTCATCTGACAGGTCATGGCTGTCATCCAACAACCAATCCACTGTAACGCATTGCCACCCGCAACTGATGAATGCTTTGGTGAGGGGTGCGTTGGGACCTGCCATGAGATCTGCCATAAGAGGTCGCCCCTCTTCCTCTTCTGGGGCGTGTCAACGCTTACCAGTGCAATTGGCTGCACCGTGGTTGAACGCTCCACATACCCGATCTTTTCTGACAACTGCTCCGCATCGATGGGCTCCTTGAGGACATGGTTTGGCCTTACAGCCTCCTCGTTGAAATTGCGGGCAAAGTTTGGTACCATCCTTCATTGCCGTCGCCACGGGTTTGCCATTGATCGGCTTGCCCAACTTCAAGGGTGATGTGCTTGGCGGCACCTTATATGGGCTTGCAGTAGAGGCTGCGGTGGGGGCTGCACTCTTCCTGTCCGGGGTAGCGGGCCCTGGTGCGGACCAATGTGCGTCCCTGGACGTGTAGATCTCGCTGATCACCTGTCCCAAGCTCGTCGTAGACTCACGAAATTTGGACACCCACTCACTACGTTCCTCCACGTCTTTGGCCTGGAGCCATTGCATGCGCTGTGATGTGGGCAAACCTGCCACACTGCGCTTGGCTCTGAAGTAGTACTTGTAGACGATGTCCATGGGAACGTTGACAAACTTGACTGTATCGGCTCCTAAGTTGAGCTCTTGCGCGGCATCCGGTGCTCCGGTCACCCCAGA